CACCTCCCAGCACCCAGTAGATAAGAGTGCAACATCTACCAGACCACAATAATTTCCCTCACAGCTCTTCTCTAAGAACATTTACCTAATAACAAGGAGGAAAAGGGCTTAAGAGGATAGCAAAAAAAATAAATAAATAACAATCCAGCCCTAGCCAGTTTGGCTCAGTGAATAGTGTTGGCCTGCGACCAAAGGGTTCCAAGTTCTATTCGTCAAGGGCATGTACCTGGGCTGCAGGCTCCTCCCCTGCCCAGGCCCTGGTGCTGGTGCTGGTGCGTGCAGGACGCAACCAATCCATGTTTCTCTCACACTGATATTTTGCTGTATTTCCCTCTTTTCCACTCTCTAAAAATCAGTGGGAAAATATCCTCGGGTGGGGGGGGGGGGGGGGGAGCACTGATCCCCTTGCTGGTTTAGTTTACTACCCAAATACTACTCTGGCTCCTGGCTACCTATGGGAGTTAAGTCCAAACTATCATTTGGTACAAAGGATCTCACTCTATTTGGTAACAACCTATCTTTCCAAACTCACCCCCACTTCCAGTTCCTATCTCCAGGGAAAGTACTTTACCTGCCCTTCTAGACCCAGCTCAAAAGCTATCCCTTGCAATGCTGCAGACTCTACCTCTGAACCCCCATGCTCTCCCTGTTCCATTTCAAATCTTCTCTTAACCCCATATTTTCCGGCGTATAAGAAGGCTTTTGAAACGAAGAAAAGTCAACCGAAAATCGGGGGCAAAAGACCAAAATTGCACAAAAATTACCTGCAGAGCTTGATGGCAAAGTCTTTTCTTTGAAGTGGGGGATAGTCTTATACAGCCAATATAGGCCTAAACCTGTTTTAACTGTAAAATTAGGGGGGTCGTCTTATACACCGGAAAATACGTTAAGTCTGAATGTTGTCCCTCCCCAGACTGCCTGCTCTTGCTTATTTTGCTGTACCCACAATACAATGCTACTGAAAAAGGTCTTCAGCAGCTGTAACAAAATGAAGATACCTACTCGTGCAAGTCTGTGTTTGGGTTCATTTTTCTTTGCGTAATCCAAGGAATCATAAATCATGCCAAAGCCAGTGGTCTTGCCACCACCGAAGTGGGTTCTGAATCCAAACACAAAGATGACATCAGGTGTGGTCTTATACATTTTGGCTAGTTTTTCCCGAATTTCTGTCTTGGGTACTGTTGCCTTCCCAGGGTGAAGGACATCGATGACCTAAAAGGAAATGTCAAGTTTAGTATTTATTATAATGTAACACGTCTTTAAAAATGGAGAATTAACCAAACCTTAATGTGCCCCTTCCGTACCATTTGCTTCCGCTGAAGTAGTCTGTTGGTCATGAACTTCCTGGTCCGGATGGTTACCGTGTCGTTCTGAAAATATTAACACTAGTTAATAAAACTACTCAACCTTTTCTTGGCCTTGTGGTCATTTCCCAAGATCTAGAACTGTGCTGTCCAAATTAGTAGACACTCACCATGTGTGGACAGTTAAATAACATTTAAAATGCAATTCCGGGGGGGGGGGGGGGGGTGCCGCAATGGTAAAATATGTACAGATAATTTAATTTTAAAAGTTTAAGAATAAATAAATAAAATGCAATTCCTCAGCTGCAGGAGCCACAGTTCAAGTGTTCAAGAGCCACAGGGACTCAGTAACAGGAAAGCTTCAGTATAAAGAAAAAAGGCCCAAATTCCCATCTCCTCCTAACCCACTTCCCACGGTGCGCCTAGCTCACAGGACCCAAACACACAAGCAAAGTACCAAGAAAAGGCAGCCAGCAGGTGCATGTGAACCTGCATTCCTCCCCTGTGGTTTGGGAACCACCTGGAGCATGGTATCAACCTCTGCATTACGGATACTGTGGTCCCAGGAATACCTCCTTGTGGGGGCTGTCCTAAGCATTCTACTATGTTTTGGTGGCAACCTTGGCCTCTAATCACCAGGTGCCCAGAGCATCCCCACGTCCCAGTTGTAACCAAAAACGTCTCCAGATTTTGTCCCCTCTGAGGCAAAAGTCACCCTCAGTTGAGAGCATTCTCTGGAGGAAAACTCACCCAGTGCTCCAGTCACCAGCATCCTGCACCAACCTGACACACGCTGCACTGCCTGCTGCCAACTACCTTTCTTCAGTGACCAACTCCACGGCCCATAAAGCCGGGTTCTCTTCCGAATGGCCCAAGGACTCTCTTAACTACCAAGGGGTGTGGACACTTAGCATGTTTACACTGTAATAATCTTTACCAAAATGATGGGGAAGGGGGATGCTTTCGCATTACGTCTGGTTGCTAGATTTCCACGTGTTTGAAAAACTACACCAAAGTTCACTTCCAGTTTCTAGTTATGAAAGTCAAGGGCCAGGGGGAAAAGGCTCGTAAAGTGGAATGAACTTAAAAACAACAACAACAAAAAAACTGGTGCCGACCCTTTCGAATGATGGCCCTAACTAGTCACAACTTGAGGATGCTGCATCTCTTCCCAGGCAGCAGTATCCCCAACGCGTAAGGAAAGGACCCCAGCAGCTGACAATCTTCTGGCTCACACATGACAGCGGTCTCATCCGCCCCAAGCCGCCTATCCCACATTGCGACTACTGCCCCCAATCCTGAGCTTTACGAAGCCAACAAAGCAGCAGCCGCCGCTCCCTCCTTCCTTCCTTCCCCAGGCCCTCGACTCTGACGCCCGGCGTGTCCGGATCGGCAGCGCAGCCTGGAAACCCCGCCGGCGGCTCCGGGGCACTCGGCAACAGGCCTCGGTCCGACCCGCCAGGGAAGAGCAGCCGGGCTCCGGGCGGCCGTAGCGCAGACGCGGGGAGCGGGGGGACGAAGGATGGCTCAGATATGCGGCGGATGGCTGCGTGAGTACGGGAGACTCACCATGATGAAGGTTTAGCTTCCAGCAGCCAGGGAGGAAAAGAGAGCCGCTCTTCCTTAGCCAATCATATCAACGCGTACGGAAGGACCCCGGCGGCGCCGGCGTGGGGGCGTGGCCATACCGCGAGGCTGGCCACGCCAATGCCGGATTGAAAGTGCCTAAGGCCCCGCCTCATCCATCTCTGGCCACACCCAGAATCCTGAACTAACCAATAGGGAGACGGAACAATTCAGCGATTACTAGGTTTACTTAAGCACGTGTTCAATTTCAATTCAATTCACTACTACCTGATTATCCCTACTTAAAATGTCTGTAAACCAAGTTATAGTTTAAATGAACTCCAGCCAAGGATAAATACCGTATTATTTCACTTACATGTGGAATCTAACGAACAAAAAAATTTGAAACATACTCATGAACGCAGAAAGCAGCTGGTGGTTGCCAAAGGGGAGGACTTGGCAGACTGAAGAGGTTAAGAAGTACAAATTGGTAGTTACAAAATAGGGAATGCAAAGCATAGATAATATAGTCAGTATAATAATAAAATGGTAATATGCTAATTAGACTGGACGAAGGCGGGAAGGAAGCCCTACTCTTGCACAAATTTCCTGCGTTGGTCCTCTAGTATAAAATAATAGTTCATGTAAACTGTTATTGAAAAATAAATAAAAAGAAGAAAATTACCTCCAGCCGAGTTAGAAGTTGGTAAAGCTGAAAGACATCGTATGTCAGTCTCCTCATTTTACAGCTAAATAAACTGCAGAAACCCTGACTCAAAACCTTTGCTATTTCAACTGCTCAAACTACTGTTTAGATTTACTGCTAATTAGCACTTTTGTGAGATTCTGTTGATGTTCTCCCCCCCACCTCTTTCTCTCTCTCTCTCTCTCTCTCTCTCTCTCTCTCTCTCTCTCTCTCTCTCTCTCTTTCTCTTTCTCTCTCTCTGTCTCTCTCTCACACTCCTGTCTGTTGATGTTCTTATTAAAAATAAATAACTTGCCGAAACTGGTTTGGCTCAATGGATAGAGCGTCGGCTTGGGGATTGAAGGGTCTAGGGTTCAATTCCGGACAAGGGCATGTGCCTTGGTTGTGGGCATATCCCCGGTAGGGGGTGTGCAAGAGGCAGCTGATTGATGACTCTCTCTCATCGATGTTTCTAACTCTCTGTCTCTCTCCCTTCCTCTCTGTACAAAATCAAAAAATATATTTTTTAAATAAATAAATAAATAACTCGCACTAGCCAGTTTGGCTCAATGGATAGAGCGTTGGCCTGGGAACTGAAAGATCCCAGGTTCAATTCTGGTCAAGAGCACATGCCTGGGTTGTGGGCTCGATCCCCACTGGGGGACTTGCAGGAGGCAGCCAGTTCATGATTCTCTGTCTTCGTGGATGTTTCTATCTCCCTCTCTACCTCTTCCTTCTTCTCTGAAATCAATAAAAAATATATTTAAAAAAAATAAATAACTTTTTTTTTGGCAAATCTTAGTTCTCACAAAAAATTAGCTTTTAATGAGTACTTGCTTGGTGCAGAAATTTAGTTATTCAAAGTGAAAGAGACATGTAAAGATAAAGAATTTAAGTGTGGTTGTTCAAAGAGAAGCATTAGGAAAGAACTTCCCAAAGGTTATTGCAGACCAGGAGACCAGGATGCAGGCTTTGAGGGTAGCTTTCCTGTATGCTTCAGAATAATAAGAATAGTTCATATTCATTGAATGATTGCCTGTTACATTCTAATCACTTTTACTTTCATTATACCACTTACCCATCCCACCAACTCTAAAATTAAGGCACTGTGGGGTCAATTGAAGATACAGCATCGACCTGTAAACCAGGAGGTCACAGTTGGAATCCTTGTCGGGTAGAAGCTCAACTCCCAGTGGGGGGAGGATGGGTGTGTGTACAGGACGCAGGCAATCATTCTCTCATCATCATCATTGATGTTTCCATCTCTCTTCCTCTCTGAAATCAATAAAAATATTTTTTTAAAGAAAAAAAAAATGCAGTGCCTACCTCCCTGCAATTTCAAGGAGGCGCCACAAGATGGCAGTGGGTGTAGAACTGAAAACACCGGTGTTCCCTGCAGCCTCTCTTGACAGACGGCCTGCGAGTAGCGGAAGCGGAAGCGGCCACGTGGGACGCTTTACGGTGGCCGGGAGGCTGCCGGGTTGTGTCTGCGGGGTCTGGAAGCGCTCCCCGGAGGAGTGGGGAACCTCGTTTCTCTGATCCAGCTCCCCGAGCGTGGGGCGCTACCCCGGCAGCCGTCACCATGGTGAAGGAGCAGTTCCGGGAGACGGATGTGGCCAAGAAAATGTAAGATGGAGCAAGGCTGGCTACAGAGGGAGGGAGAAGGGGCAGAGGGGCCCGAGGCCAGGGGTCCGGGTCTGCAAGGGGTTGAGGTTGGAAGGGGCGGCTGGGAATCAGCCGAAGAGGTGGGCAGAGGTCAGATCCCGGTGGGTCAGAGAGTCCTGACCCGGAGCGAGCACGTCTGCACCGAGGGGGCTGCAGGCCGGGTTGGTCCCGGGCTCGGGCGGAGGGGCGTGGGCCTGGGCGGTGCGCACCCCGTGGGCGCAGCTCGAGCTGTCCCGAGGCCCGGCTATGCTCCCTGTATCCCCGCGATGCTCCCTGTATCCCCACGAACGTGTTGCCTCTGCAGCGCGGGGAGCCTCTGGGCGGGGACTAACCCCGGTCTGGCTGTGGAGCGCAGGACGGGGGGCAGCAGTGCCCCAGAGGACAGCCTTGTCGGCTAGAGGCTGCGCCCCCGGGATGGGCAGTCTCGGAGGGGAGGCTGCTGTCCTGGACTGCTCCCCCAGAGCTGCTTGAAGAGGCCGTTGCCCGCTCAGAGCACCCAGGAGAAAAATGAAAATCACTCGGCCTGGCAGCAGGCACTTAACGAGGAAGGCGCTATGTGCTCGGGCCGGTGGATGGGCCTTATAGATGGGACGGGGATCAAGACCTCACTGCCAGTGTAGTTGCGGAAGGTAGACAAGGCAGCGCCGGCTGGGACAAGGGCAAGGGCAAGGCTGGGCCTAGGGGCTTCTGATTGCGCCAAATGTGAAGGGTTCAGGCAGCCTTCTTCCAGGACCATAGGGAGGGATAAGGTGGGTGATGAAAAGGAAGCATGGTTCCGGAGTCATCCTGCAGGCAGTGAGGGACCTCTGAAGGTTTTCACTAAGCAGGGGAGAGGCTGGATCAGAGTTCTCCTGAAAGGTCTGGTCATTCAGAGGGACAGGATAAGGGGGGACCCTGGAGGCCTGGGCAGGGATCTGGGCAGGGGATGATGGCCTGCACTGGGGTACTCCAAAAGGGTTTGGGTCAGGATGAGGAAGAGAGAAATGAGATGGCACAGAATTTCTTGCTCGGGCAGCTGAGTGGATGGTTGCCATTCCCCGGGATGGGAAAGTGTGTCTTGCCTGGATGAACCCTTCCAGGCTGTCTCTCCCAGTTGGCCCTGGCCTCTCACACCCACCCCAACCCCCATCTCTATTCAGATGTAATCTCTTCTCACAAAGCTACCCCAGTGACTGTTAAGATGCAAATTACATCCCTGACACTGCCGCTTAAAATCTTGCTGCAGCTTCTGTTGCACTAACATTTAAATTCCCTATCATAGGAGCCCCATGTGACCTCTCTGGCTTCATCTTGTACCGTTAGCTTTCTGTGCTCTGGTACACAGCTCTCATTCAGTTCCTTGAAAATGCCAGGCTGGCCAGGTAGCTCAGTTGGTTAGAGCATCGTCCCACATAGGTTGCAGGTTTGATACACAGTCAAGGCACATACAAGAATCAACCAATGACTGCATCAGTAAATGGGACAACTAATCTCTGTCCTCCTCAAATCTAGAAATAAGATAAAACATCTGTAGAAAGAAAGAAAATGCCAAGCTTGTGCTGGTCCTGCGACCTTTGCCCTATTATGCTCTATTTCAAATGCTCAGCCAACGGATCATCTTATTGCTGGCTCCTTCTTATTCAAAATTCAGCTTAAAAGTCAATTTTACACAGAAACTTCCTGACCACACAACATAAAGTAGGCTCTTTAAACTCTACCCCTTCACGTCACGTCACATCATTTCATTCTCTGCTTTTACTCAGTTTTGTGGATCAGTTTATTATCTGTCTTGCCTACCCTGGACTGTGAGCTCCATGTTGGCAGGGAACCTTGTCTGTCTGATTTAATCTGTGCTCTCAGCTCCTCACGATGGTGCCTGGCACATTGTAAACCCCCAATTTGAGGGGAGATGAATGAAGGAACAGATCTGAGGGAGGAGGTCTTGGGGTCTGTTTTACAAGTGTGAGGTGAGTCTGAGGTGCCTGTAGTGCATTAGGCATGGGTGTCCAGAACAGGTGTCTGTGGCCTCCAGATGAATAGAAATACCTGGCCTACAGCTAAAGGTTAGACAGACATTAACATCTACTCAAATGCCGGGATCACTCAGAAGGAATGTGTAGAATGAAAAAAGAGGATGAGGGTTATCACCCCAGGTAGGAGGAGATGCCAGTATTTAAGAGAAGGCAGTAGAAAAAGAGACCACAAAAGCATCAGCCAGAGAAGGGAAGAAAGCTGCGAGTATATGGTGTCGCCAAAGCCATGAGGAGACAGCATTTCCAGGCACGGAGGACGCACTGCAGCTGGGTAATGCTGCCCCTGGGTAAAGGAGAGTGCTCTCCCTAGGTTTAGCAACCAGCAGGTGACCTCGGAGAGCCCCACTTCCTTTGATAAAGGGGGAACAATTCCAGCAGGATGAAGGGTGCTTACCAAGGAAAAATGAGAGCGGTTTCAAAATATAATAATGGGGGCGCAGAGCCTATAGGGGTTGGGAGGATATGGTGGCTCACAGATGGAATCACCGTTTTTTGGTAAGTGGTTTTGATGTAATTGCTCCCCTGTTTCTTTTCATGCCAGAAGCCACATCTGTTTTGGAATGAAGTCGCCCGAGGAGATGCGCCAGCAGGCGCACATCCAGGTTGTGAGTAAGAACCTGTACAGCCAGGACAACAACCACGCCCCCTTGCTGTACGGGGTGCTTGACCACAGGATGGTAAGACCCCCACACCTTCCGGGTTCCTTGTGTTTTGACTTGCGGGTGAAACTGGTGCCTTTATCGCACTGGTAGAAACCAGGCCTCCTTCCATTCACCCTGCTCCCCTGCACACACATCCCAGGGCCTCCAGCCTTCGGCCAATTGGATGGGAGTACACTTTAGCTTCCCATGTGATTCTGATTCTGTGAGGACTGGTTCCCGCTTTGCTGCCCGGCAGTCCTCATTGATGACTGGCTGTGCTTTTTATCCAAAGGGTACCAGTGAGAAGGACCGCCCTTGTGAGACCTGTGGGAAGAACTTGGCTGACTGTCTGGGCCACTACGGGTACATTGACCTGGAACTGCCTTGTTTCCACGTGGGATACTTCCGCGCCGTCATAGGCATCCTGCAGGTAAGTGCATGTGTGCTCCTCTCCCAGGCATGAACTTAGTTACCAGTTAGAGTTAGAGACATTGGAGTGGTCTTAGGAGTTGTGAGAGGTGGGAGACACATCTAAGGGAAGATTTTTATACCAAACGCATAATATTTTATCTTCAATAAATAAGTTGCTTAAGTATTCTCTGTTTCTTGAACTTCCTTGAGTAAGTGGTAGTGATCTTCTATAATAATAAAAGCGTAATATGCTAATTAGATTGAACAGCTGGGCAGCCTTCCAGACGAAGTCTCGGCTACCAGGGCCGAGGCAGAGGCAGCTGCCTCATCTGCGAGGGCCGAGCCCCTTATACGAATTTCATGCATCGGGCCTCTAGTGCAATGTAAAAGATGGTAAAATAATAATTCAAGTCATAAAGAATGACAAAGAGATAGAAGTTAAAGATCCTACTGGTCAGCTCTGATGGCCAGTTTCCTCATGAGCCAGGGCTGCCTCTGCAGATTTTCTTATAGGTCCCTCAGTGCATGTTCACTCAGTGTCCTGGCCAGGCGTGGGGTGCCATTTTAAAAAGAAGGCTTTTCATCCTCTCTTATCTGTTTTGTTTAATTTTTAAAAGATGATCTGCAAAACCTGCTGCCACATCATGCTGTCCCAAGAGGAGAAGAAGCAGTTTCTGGATTATCTCAAGAGGCCTGGCCTGACCTACCTCCAGAAGCGAGGGCTGAAGAAGAAAATCTCTGATAAATGCCGGAAGAAAAACATCTGCCACCACTGTGGCGCTTTCAATGGTGAGCAGAATGCAACCCTTTCCACTCGTCCTCTTCTGTGTAGCCTGTTAGCTTTATGCAGTGTTTCTAAGTCAACTTTTTCTTTCAAATTAGGCTATAGAGCCCAACAATTGGTGCACTATTTTTGTTTTGTTTTTGTTTTTATCCTTGTTCAAGGATATGCTTTGGTTTTTGTTTTGTTTGTATTGATTTTTTAGAGAGAGAAACATAGATTGGCTGCCTCCTGTGCACATCCCAGCCAGGAATCAAACCTGCAACCTTTTGGTGTACAAGTCAACAATCAACTGAGCTACCGGGCCAGAGTGCACATCTCATCTTTCATTGCTGAGGAATTTCAGTAACCTCAGGGCAGCCTAGCTAATAACCTTTTATGTAACCTTAGCAATAAATTCCTACAGGTACTGTAAAGAAGTGTGGTTTACTGAAGATAATTCATGAGAAATACAAGACCAACAAGAAAGTGGTAGATCCTATCGTATCGAATTTCCTTCATTCTTTTGAAACGGCCATCGAGCACAACAAAGAAGTGGAGCCCCTTCTGGGGAGGGCACAGGTGAGTCTGCTGTGCAGGCCTGCCCTCTGCCTGCCTCCCCTGCCCCACTTGCTCTCTCTGCTTCCGCTGAAGTATCTTATTTTTACCCTGCTCGGAGCTTGATTAGTTCGTAGTTCATATAGTACTATCTACAATAGATACTATATAAAGCTAACAAATGAGTTGAGTGGCTACTGAGTTCCAAACTCGATGAGGTGGGGGAGCATTAGGAGCTGCCACCACTGGGTCTACTCTCAAGGATCCCACAGTGTAGATGTGTAGGTAGCCATTCATCTGTGAAATAGGCTGCAATGCTGATTCATAAGAATGGCCAGGACGGTGAGTTCAGTGAGAAATCAGGAGGAAAATGTCACTTTGGACTCGGTTAGGGAAGATTGCGGAAAGATGTGCTTCCATCTGGTGCAAATGCTAGTGGGCTAAGAGAGTCGAGCAGAGAGCTCGGGCTGTGCAGCTCACAGGGTCTAGGCTCACTGAGGTGGGGGCTCTCTCTGAAAAACCAGGGAGCGATGGAAAAGCACCTTGTGTTTAGTGACTGCTGTCACGCACCGACACTGTTCTTTAGAGTTCTTTAGATGGATTAGCTCACACAGAAGGAGGATTATAGCTTTGAATACGCAAAAGTTTGTTCTTGTACAGCTATTGCTATCTACTGATGATTGTGTTATTTTCCATACAAACAGCTGTAAGCCTGCTTTGCCCCACCTTGTACTGGTACTTAATCCTCACAATAAACTTCCGGGACGGCATTGCCCAAGAGGACAGTGCGGAGGGAGCAGGAGCTCTTGCCAAGGCAGCTGGCTTGCAGGCCCATAACGGCCAGCTGAGAGCACTGGGCAGGGGCCTCCTGCTCGGGGGCGTGTGGTGCCACCGAAAGCTTTGAGCAGGGAGGGAATGAATAAATGGTGAAGTTTCGAAACATGGCTGCTCTTGAAAAGACACCATGATGAAAGGGAAAAAGGGATTCTTTTTCGGGGGGAGGATGTGGATTGGAATAGCTTCCTTCTTCCCAAACTGTACTGCCATTTCCTCCAGGATGGGATGGCAGTAGTTTCTTTTGCGGCACTGTTCTGAAGGCAGAAGCTGTTCAGACATTTCTTCCTTAACTTTCTTCCTCTTCTCAGTAAGTTATGCAGAGCAAATTCTGCATGTAGCATATATTCATAATCACATGATCTTTGATTCCAAGAAAAATCAGTAGGCAGCAACAAGACACAAACTGATCATTCTTCCCTTTGATCTTTGCCTATCTGACAATTTGCCTAGTTCTTACATTATGAGTAAGTGTTACAGCATGGCACTTCTACTAAATGGAGTTAATAGAGACCAATGTAAGTTCACTACAGAAAATTTAAATGTAAAAATAGAAGCAAAATGATTAGAATTCCACTCACTGAAAGACAGCTGTTAAAACCTTGGTAAATTCTTCCATTTCCTCTTTTCTGTATACACGTACATCCTAAGTGAGATCATATTATACATATGCCTATTTTATTTACCAGTATTTTGTGAACATCTTTCATGGCAATAGCTACATTTTATAGTGTCTTTTTTTTTTTTTTTTTATGGCTTCATAATTTTCGATGTATGATTTTATCTAGCCAGTAACCTGTCAGTCAGGCTGTTTCCAACTTCACTATTAAAAACAGCTTTAGGGAACATCATTTTTATGTTAATTTTTAATCATCCCCTTTTGAATAATTATGAGGAGTGGAATTATTGATTTAAATAATTGAATAAAAGGCCTGCATATTTTTAAAAATATATTTCTTTATTGATTTCAGAGAAGAAGGGAGAGAGATAGAAACATCAATGATGAGAGAGAATCATTGATTGGCTGCCTCTTGCATGCTCTCTACTGGGGACTGAGCCTGCACCCTAGGCATGTGCCCTTGGCCGGAATCGAACCTGGGACCCTTCAGTCCGAAGTCTGACACTTGATCCACTGAGCCAAGCCGGCTAGGGCAGGCATGCATACTTTAAGGGCGCTCACACTATAACATATTAGCAGAAATCTGTCATCACTTACACTTAGAGTCCAAGTGGTGAGTAGGCTAGAGAGTATGGAGAGTAAGCCCTTGCCCATGGAAATTAACGTATCTCTTTTCTGTCCATAGGAAAACTTGAATCCCTTAGTCGTTCTGAATTTATTTAAGCAAATCCCAGCTGAAGATGTCCCTCTCCTTCTGATGAACCCGGAAGCCGGAAAGCCCTCCGATTTGATCCTCACGCGACTGTTAGTGCCCCCCTTGTGCATCAGGCCCTCCGTCGTGAGCGATTTGAAGTCTGGCACCAACGAAGACGATCTGACGATGAAATTGACAGAGATCATTTTCCTAAATGATGTCATTAAAAAGGTCAGTGCTTCCCATTGGCATTGGCAAGCCCTACATTTGAGAGTATCTCTATGCAAACACTTGTAAGCGAGAAAGTCAAGATGACGAGGCACGTTTTCGTTCCTTCTCTGCTCCTTTTTAGCATCGGATATCAGGAGCCAAGACCCAGATGATCATGGAAGACTGGGACTTCTTACAGCTGCAGTGTGCCCTCTACATCAACAGCGAGCTCTCGGGCATCCCCCTTAACATGGCGCCCAAAAAATGGACCCGGGGTTTTGTCCAGCGCCTGAAGGGAAAACAGGGTATGCTGCCAACCACAAGCACAGGAGACAGTTTACTGCCTTTGCTTGCTTGCTTGTTTGTTTTTGAGCGCATGTCCAGCTTATCTAATTGGGGATCACAGACTTTCCTTTGTCTTTCTGCCCACATTACCCCAAATGGCTCACCTTGTGTCATGGAGACATGTGACACATTTTTGTTTATTTAGGTCGATTTAGAGGCAATCTCTCAGGAAAGAGGGTGGATTTTTCTGGCAGAACTGTCATCTCACCTGACCCCAACCTCCGGATTGATGAGGTAGCTGTGCCAGTTCATGTGGCCAAAATTCTAACTTTTCCTGAGAAAGTAAGTACCATTCAGTTGCTTGATTCTGTGTTTTGAATCCAGTCCTTTACATTATATTTTAAGATTTCAAACAGCAGACAGTGGAAAAACTCCTTAGTCCCCTTCAATGCACAATTTGGCATGTGTTAGTATAGGTATCTTTCCTGTTTGATTCATGTTTTATACATGCATCGCTATATGTAATATCTGTAGCATGTATAAGCAGAACTGTGTATGTACTCACAGACACATTAAATAACTGTTCTGCAACTTTTTCCCCCCAAGTACTATCATCTTTAACATCTTTCTATGTTTCTTCATAATTCATGTTTTAAAGGAGCTAAATGATAAACACCACACATTTAATTTTCTTGGGATGGGTTTTTATTTATTTTTTAAGTGAAAGGATTTTTTATATTTTATTGATTTTTTTACAGATAGGAAGAGAGAGGGATAGAGAGTTAGAAACATCTACAATATGAGAGAGAATCATCGATCAGCTGCCTCTTGCACACCCCCTACTGGGGATGTGCCCGCAACCAAGGTACATACATGCCCTTGACCGAAATCGAACCTGGGACCTTTCAGTCCGCAGGCCGACGCTATATCCACTGAGCCAAACCGGTTTCGGCGGATTTTTTAAATACATATATTTTTTATTGATTTTGGAGAGGAAGAGAGATATAGAAACATCGATGATAAGAGGGAATCGTTGATTGTCTGCCTCCCGCATGCCCCTCCCCTGGGAACTGAGCCCGCAACCTAGGTATGTGTCCTTGACCAGAATCAAACCCGGACCCTTTAGTCCACAGGCTGATGCTCTATCTACTGAGCCAAACTGGCCAGAGAGGGGTGGATTTTTATTTTTAAAACCTTAGAATCACTGCATCAAGGCTTTGAGCATTTTAAGGCTACTGATGCATAACCAGAAAGGCTGCGTCGCTCTGCCTCAGTGCACACTCCCCATGAGTGTAAAATACACAGTGCCCTTTTTTAACTGAGGTGTGCAAGGCCTAATAACAGGAGGCTATGAATTGGCTTTGCCTTAGATTCCTAATTGGCCAGATCATAGCCGGTTCTGGTAAAACTTACGGGGGGTGTCCTCAGTTGAGTTACTGATGATCCAAAGTTGCCTGCTCAGAGATGGGTGATCCAGGAGCCTGTAGTCCAACAGGTTGTAGGACACAGTGTTGCAGACCAGGTCCTCTGTGCTGATATCACCACTTTGAAATATTAGAAGCCCATGGTAAATCATGGCAGATGAAATGGCCACCTGCTTTGAAGGTCACAGTATGTTCTGGAATGTTCCTACAGATCAGTCCAGCCCATGCTCTTCTTGTGGGGATACCAAAGGCGAGGGAAGGACTTGGCTGTGTCATCCAGGGAGTGAGTGACCAAGTTCGGACTAGAACCTGGGCTCCTGTATGCCAATCCATTGTCATTGCACACATGACCCTAGGCAGCAGGAAGTGAAGATTGAGGCACAGTTCAGTGTATTGAATAACTAGTAGAAGTGTAGGAAGTATAATCTAATAGTATCTCATTGTGGTCCTGCAGGTAAACAAAGCAAACATTAACTTTTTGAGGAAACTGGTTCAAAACGGACCTGAAGTTCACCCAGGAGCCAATTTCATTCAGCAGAGACACACGCAGATGAAAAGGTAACACTTTCCCAGTCTAGCTGGGTGTAACTCATGACCAAGGTCACTGTTGCCATGGTTAGCCACAGAATGCAGTCCTGAGTACAATTTTGGGAGTTTTAGCATGTGGAAAATATGTGTTTAAATTGCAGTGAGTCTACGTATACCATTTGCCCCATTTGGTGATTGAATACACATGAAGTGTTCATTTGTTTCCTAGCATTTAGTGTTAATGAATCTAGGTGGACAAAGTACATTGGGATAAATGAATCTGTGTCTTACTATCAGTTTGTCATAGTTTAATTGACACCTCTGGGGGCACCTTAGAGTCAATGAAATATGATCATTTTAGAATTTGAATTCTGTTATGAAGAGGGAGAAACGTGGTGAGGAGACCTTGCTCTCACATACGTTTACTATTGTGTGTTCAGGTTTTTGAAATATGGAAATAGGGAAAAGATGGCTCAGGAGCTCAAGTACGGGGACATTGTGGAGAGACACCTCATAGACGGGGACGTGGTGCTGTTCAACCGGCAGCCCTCGCTGCACAAGCTGAGCATCATGGCGCACCTGGTGAGTGCATTTCCGGTCTGATTTTTTGTGGAGTGGAAATGTGCTGTACACAATGCTAACTTCCAGACTTCTACAATTAAAATTGCCAGTCATCTCTGATTTTCATAACCTGCTTTTCCTTTGCTTTCACTTTTTAATTTGAGGGAAACTTAAATTTCAAGCTTTTCTTCAATGTTTTTAATATTTATAATGTAATATTCATACACTTAAACAGAGAGGAACTAATTGAAAATTAGTGTGGAAGTGACTAGCGTGATTTCACTTGCAAACTAAAATATATACACATATATGTGCACAAACTTATGTAAAAAATAGATATGATTTAAAAAATTGACTTTTGATTTAACTTCGCATGTTAACCAAGAAACTAGCTTAAAATATTTTTTTCTTTGCAATAGTCCTCCAACTAGGACCCTAAGCCATATTTTTTTGGTGATTTCATTTTGCAACAGCAGCAGTTTCTTTTTCTGGAAATTTAAAATGGAATTGAGGTGCAACTTTAATTTGTTAAATAGTCACCAGTTCTCCTATCTTCAAAGCCATTGAACCTTGAGCATTTGTAAACAGTGTTTAAAAAGGCTCTGAAAATCAGGTTTTTCTCGATTCTATTTTTCAGTAGTTTGTGAATATATTGCATCAGTCTTTACCTTAACAGTGAAATACCAAGCAGCAGTTTATGATTTATGAGAATATGATTTTGGGATCTAGGGGAAACAGAAGCCCTCTTTTTCTAGAAACTTTTGAAAAGGAATTTTTTGTTTGAATATTTTTAAATATTCAAAGAATACTATTGTGAATTCTCATATTCTTTTTTTTTTAAATATATTTTATTGATTTTTTTACAGAGAGGAAATGAGAGAGATAGAGAGCTAGAAACGTCGATGAGAGAGAAACATCAACCAGCTGCCTCTTGCACACCCCCTACAGGGGATGTGCCCGCAACCAATGTACATGCCCTTGACCTGAATCAAACCCGGAACCTTTCAGTCCGCAGATCGATGCTCTACCACTGAGCCAAACCAGTTTCGGCATTAACTCTCATATTCTTATCCTCATTACTCAGTTTTCTGGATTTGGCCTCACTTGTATATCTTCCTTTTTTCTTTGATGAGCCCAGATGCCATGTCTTTTCCCATGTGTATTCAGTTTACTGTGTAAGGCGCACACAGGAACCACAGTGCCGTTGTCATACCACACAAAATGAACACTCTCAGGCAGTGTCTAGTGCCCAGTTCACAGTCAGAGTCCCCCAGAGCCTCAACAGACTCACAGCTGGTTTGTTCAGATCAGGATGCAGTCTACGTGTTACATTTGGATGATACATAGCTAAGGTCTGTTGATTTGGAACAGTCCTTTTTTAAATTGTAATGTCATTGTTGAAAAAACCATGTTATTTGTCATAGAGAGTGTCCCATGCTCTCAGTTTGTATAGGTATGGAGTTAAGTGTTTCTTCGTTCTTCTTTGTATTTCTGTAAACTGGAAATTAACTCCCAAGACTTGATCAGATGCAGGTTCAACTTTTTTACAAGAATGGCTGTGGGTGGTGCGAGCTACTACCAGGAGGCCTTATTTGAGGAGCACGTGTTATCTGAATGTCCCTCTCTTAAGCTGAAAAGTATAAGGAGTCTTCTGATGTCTTAGAAAGGTTCCTCATCAACCTTTTTTCCAATAGTTTCATTCTTCTATGGTCATTGCCTACATTATTTCTTCAGGGCTGCAAAGTGGTGAAATTTATCATTTATTTCACATTTAATACAAAGGATTTTTATATTAAAAAATCTAGAGTTATCTGCTTGTTTAGAAACAATTCATAAAGGAAAAGCAGCCTACATATCTAATTCTTTTTCCTTTATTGTCAGTTTGGGAAGTAAAAAGTTTGTGCTCAGTTACTTCCCATTCGGTTATTTTAGATTCTTTATTTGCTTATTTTATTTTACTTTAAATATATTTTATTGATTTTTTACAGAGAGGAAGAGAGAGGGATAGAGAGTTAGAAACATGGATGAGAGAGAATCATCGATCAGCTGCCTCTTGCACCACACCTACTGGGGATGTGCCCGCAACCAAGGTTCATGCCCTTGACCAGAATCGAACCTGGACCTTTCAGTCTGCAGGCCGATGCTCTATCCACTGAGCCAATCCGGTCTTGGCTTTATTTGCTTAGTTTAGATTTTCCTTCCTTCATTGTCATTATAAACTCGTGTGTTTATGTAGTCTGTGTTTTAATTAACTGCCACAAATTTTACTGATATCAAACAGTCATGTCATGGGCCGGGGGCCTCCATGTGGCTCCAGTGCTGATGTTTGCCTCCAGCGGTAAAACAAGTTCCTGACATTGGCTATGGTGAGTGAGTCCACAGGTGACATGTGTCACCCAACAGAACACACTAGAGGTTTATTTCCTTAACCTACATTTTCTAATAACTAAGAAGCTTTGGGATCAGTGACTAAGCCCTCCTTTTGTTTTGTGTTCCACAGGCCAGGGTCAAGCCCCATCGGACCTTCAGATTTAACGAGTGTGTGTGTACACCCTACAATGCGGATTTTGATGGCGATGAGATGAACCTTCACCTTCCACAAACAGAAGAAGCAAAAGCAGAGGCCCTTGTTCTAATGGGGGTACGTAGGGCGGTGCAGCCCAGCTTACAGCTCCATGAGGGTGGGAAAAGGGATCAGGCCCTGTTGGGAAACACCTTCTAGTATGTAAGTGTGTTAGTGTCTGTAATAGGAGCTTTTGGGGGGAGTTGATGTTTCCTAACCTATAATGTAGGTTCCTGAGAGAAAATGTATATGTGAGCACTACTTATGAAAAGATGAGAGAGCGTAGCAATCAGCTGTTGGGTATCATGGGAAAAGATGGTTCTGCATACGTGGATATTCTAGTGGCTAAAGATTCTTTAAGCTCCAATATATTGGATCGAACAGTCTGAATGGAAACCTTCCCAAAATGTAGCAATACCTCTTTGTCTCCTGAAGGGTACACCATAAACAGTCATTTTTGTAATGACTCCTGTCACCATTTTATTGTTAGCGAGTAGGCGTGCCCATTCAGTGCCAGGGAAAGTCTGGTGATGAGCGAGGCTGGTGCCTGGTCCTGAGGTGTCACAATTGGGCTCTAACTCTTGCACTGTGTGCTGTTTGCTCCTGAACCCACCATACTACAGTGGCCCCGGTGCCTGCTGGTAGGCTCTTCCCACCTGTTGGGTTTTTAGAACTTAGGCCTTTCTTTTTTGTAGTATTCTAGTTTTCTGTATTATGAACGGATGTATTTTGTAGTTTTAAGTGTTCCTTCCTCCAAAAATACTATTTCTGATATGATACTTCTAATCTATTTTGGTTTAGGGTGATTCTGAGGTAAAGGCGATTAGGTTCTGCAAGCAGATCTATTAAATGTTAAAGTCCATGTGGATTTGGTGGGATAGGAAGAAGGGATTACATTTGTAGCCTTTGCTAGAGTTCTTCATGGCAGGAGTTGACATATCTTTTTGCTTTTTTTAAAAATATGTTTTTATTGATTTTTAGAGAGAGGGGAAGGGAGAGAGATGGAGAGGTAGGAACATCGATGAGAGAGAAACATCGATTGGCTGCCTCCTGCATGCCTCCTATTAGGGATCAAACCTGCAAACCCAGGCATGTGCCCTGACTGGGAATCAATCCAGCTCAGCCACTCAGCAACTCTAGCTGGGTGACATATCTTTTCTGATAAATGAACTATTTAATTTATCATGTATTGTTTATACATATTTAAATTATCCTTTGGAGAATTCAATAATTCTGAGAAATTTATGTGCTAAAAATAGGCTGAAGTATTCAACTTTTTTGAAACATTGATTCTTATTATTCAAACATTCTAGCAAAGTAATGGAAATTATTTAAATAAGGTACAATTTCTACACATCACAGCTTTCTTTATTTCCATCTCTTATCAGTTTGTTCCTTATCCATGAATATAGATGGTTGTTGTCATGGTTAAATGGGCTTTGTTTTCCTTTTTTCTGCTTAACGTATTATTAATACCAATTTACTGTAGAGTCCTGGTGATTGATCATAATGGCTTTGCAGCATTTCACCACCTTAGCACACCATGATTCATATTCCCTCTGGTGTTGAAATTTAGGGTGCTTTTCTTGTTTTGTTTTGAGAATTAGTCCCTCAAGGGCCATCTTTGTGCATTGAGAGTCTTCTTTTGCATTATTTCTCTGGACTTCTTGGCCTATTAAAAGGGTTCAGTAGATGTTGATGAGTATTACTGTGTGCCAAGCACTCTTGGAACATAGCAGTGAGTGGGGAAGTCAAGTTCTTCCTTTTCTTCCTATTCAAATGGGGAGAGAGAATCCTATCTAATAAAGATGGAATATGCAAATTGCTGTAACTCAGTGACGAAGATGATGGCACCCATAGCCCAATAAGGAGGGAATATGCAAATTGATGCAACAAGGCTAGAGGCTGAAGGCAGCTCTTGGCTGGAGCGAAGGCAGTGCCGGCAGCCAGGGGAAGGAAGGCCTATTCGTGCACGAGTCTTTGTGCATCGGGCCTCTAGTAACAAATACAAAATGTCAGGTTTGTTTATAAGTGCTAGGAAGAAAAGGATCAGGCAGGGTAAGGATGAAAGCATGAAGGGGGTCCTATTTTAGGATAGTCTGGGAGGTCCATGAGAACAGTAACATATGAACCAGGTTTTGAAAGAAGTGGGAGGATGATCAGTGAGTCTGTCAGGGAAAGAGTAATTCAAGCAGAAGAGCAGCAGCTGCAAAGGCCCTGTGGTACAATTTCACTTGGGGAAGCAAGAAGGTAGCCTGTTTTCTCCTGTGCCTCGGTGTCGGTAGCAGTGGTGATGAGTGCTGTTTGGGAATTGGTGGTTGATACAACAGGACAAGATGGTTGATGAGTATGTTGTTGGTGGAGGATGGATAGCCATGAATGAGTTCTTGTTCTGCGCTCCTATAGTCAAAGGGTGAGTAGGTCAGTGCAGTCATTCTTCCTGACTGGCCCTCTCATTTCTAGGAAGCTCTCCAGAGGAAGTAATTAGACTTGCAAAATTATTTGCAATCACAGAACACAAGCAATGCTCAGAAGAAGAAAAATTGATTTTGTTAAATTATGTCACATCCACACAACAAAACCCTTTGTGTTCTCTTAAAAATGACATAATTGTATATGTAGTTGTTTGATAAGTAGTTGCCTATATGTTTGTAAAAATGTTTATAGCAAAAAGTTGGAAGGGTTATAATCAAAGACTTAAAACAGTAGTTGTTTTTGCTTGGCAGTATGACACTGATTTTTTTATGGCCTATATTTTTTTTAGATTTTTTAATAATGGATATGTCTTATTTTTTGTAATTGAAAAGTAATGTTTAGAATGTTACTAGTGATAATAGTATCAACCTGCAGCCAAACAGTTAGACTTTGCCATTGACTTTGCTATTATAGATCTTTCTTGTTAGACATTTTGTTATAACAACATATTTCATTTGTTAAAAATGAAAACACTAAAATGCAGACTTCAAGGATATTGGGTGGAAGAATCCATAGTTACTATTTGGACAAATCCCTCAGTTTCTGTGAGAAAGTTGCCTATTGCAGTGTCGCCAATCTTTCGGACCTCATGGACCGCCAGTGGTCCGTAGACCGCCGGTTGGCGACTGCTGATCTCCTGCACTGATTCAGCAGTCCTGTCCCCGTGGAGCAGGTGGAGCTCGAGCTTAAATGTGGCCCAAATTGCCCAGGAAACTTTCTCTAAAATGTGCACGTATGGGCTTGCACACCCTCTCCCACCCAGACCACTTGCTATCCACCCCAGAGAAATTCTCTTAACCAGCAGTGAGCAGCCGTCTCCTGCCCAGGTGCGGTCACTGCCCTGGTAGTGGTTCAGAAGAAGGCAGGCATGGTCTCTGCCTTGGAGGGCCTTTCACTGTGGGTGAGGAGGCCCAGAATACCCAAGTGTGCAGCGCACTCTGACACAGAACCTTCTGTAAACCTGCCCACGTGTTGAACAACAGCTCCCTTTTCTGTCCACTGTGACACTCATTGAATTTTAGTTAAATCTTGTTAAATTGTTATTAGAATTTTTTTAAATATATTTTATTGATTTTGTACAGAGAGGAAGGGAGAGAGATAGAGAGTTAGTAACATCGATGAGAGAGAGTCATCGATCAGCTGCCTCCTGCACACCCCCTACTGGGGCTATGCCCGCAACCAAGGTACATGCCCTTGACTGGAATCGAACCCGGGACCTTTCAGTCCCCAAGCCGACGCTCTATCCATTGAGCCAAACCGGTTTCGGCTGTTGTTAGAATTTTTTGTCTCAAGAGAAATTGAACAGTTCTGCCATCATTGTGAAGAAGTGTGAAATTGATTCACTTCAAAGATGACACAGTACTACTCATTTGTAGAAGTGAATTTCTTTGGAGAAGCGCATGTATTAAAAACAATAAAGTCTTGGATGGTAGAGTTCTTTACAGAAATCCGAAACAGCTTAACTTGGTGTTTTACCTTAGTGCTGATGGGAACCTCTGAGGTCTGTTTAGCTGGTATTTCTTTCCTCTGCTCGACAGATGAGGAACTGGAAATTGATGACATAGCTGGGATTAAGGCCCCTGGCTTGATTTCTCAGCCTTAGCATGCAGAGCTTTGGACTGCATCATGCCTCCAAGGATGGCTAACTTACTGTATCCATTTTTCCTTCAGACTAAAGCAAATCTTGTAACTCCAAGGAACGGGGAACCACTAATTGCTGCTATTCAGGACTTTCTAACAGGTGGGTTTGTGAAATTCACTTAAAAGGAGGCTGTGGAACAGTGGTTCTCATTCACAATGGTTTTATATGAGAACTTGCAAAGCTCTTTAATTGCCTGTGTTTAATTCTGTTGTTTGTTTACTAAGTTTAACTGTGAACCTGTTGGAAATGTTTTGTAATGGGTGATTATTCATTGAACCAACAAGCATTTGTTGAGCTCCTGTGTAGACCAAACATGTTTCTCAGCCCTGGGGATACAGCAGTGAGCAAATCAAACTGCGTTTACTCACAGAGCCTAAATTCTAGCTGGAGGGGAGAGCCGGTAAGCAGCTGTATGGTTTGTCACTTTTTTAATAATAGTCCATATTTATTTTATTTATTTTTAATATATTTTTATTGATTTCAGAGAGGAAGGGAGAGGGAGAAAGATAAAAACATCAATAGGAGATGCTGGTAGAAACCTCAATTTTATTTATTTTTTAATATATTTTATTGATTTTTTTACAGAGAGGAAGAGAGAGAGATATTCAGAAACATTCATGAGAGAGAAACATCTATGAGCTGAGTCCTGCACACCCCCCCACTGGGGATGTGCTTGCAACCAAGGTCCATGTCCTTGACCAGAATCGAACCCAGTACCCTTCAATCTGCAGGTCAACACTCTATCCACTGAGCCAAACCTGTTTCGGCAGGAACTTCAATTTTAAAATTGAAATGTGATTTTCTCACAGTTTCACTCATTTATGTGTGTGTGTTTAACATTTTTAGGTGCCTATCTCCTTACTCTTAAGGACACTTTCTTTGACCGAGCCAAGGCATGCCAAATCATTGCTTCAATACTGGTGGGCAAAGATGAGAAAATTAAAGTTCGTCTCCCGCCTCCTACAATATTGAAGGTTTGTGCAGGAGCTGTGTGTGTATGTACACAAGTGTGGGTGTGTGTCCATCCCCATATGCCCATATGGATGTACCCGAGCCAGTGCTGGGTTTGCATGTGATTGCTGTAGTCTTGTCTTATTTACATGAAAGGTGGTCGAGACCAGGCTTGGCCAGTTGATACTCTGCCTTCCTTTCCTCCTCCAGCCTGTCACCCTGTGGACAGGAAAGCAAATCTTCAGTGTCATCCTCAGACCTAGTGATGACAATCCAGTGAGGGCCAACCTTCGAACCAAGGGCAAGCAGTACTGTGGCAAAGGAGAAGACCTCTGTGTCAATGATTCCTGTGAGTTAAAGCACACGAGGGAGGGGGAGTCAGAAAAGCAAATTCAGTGTTTCTCTAAGGTCTTAGCCTGAGATAGGAAATTTGTTCTTCAGGGAAATGTAGCTGATGATTCTCCTCTCAGGTATGATTTCCTTGTTTTGTTTTGTTTTGTTTTGTTTTGTTTTGTTTTGTTTTAATATATTTTTATTGATTTCAGAGAGGAAGGGAAAGGGGAAGAGAGATGGAAACATCAATGATGACAGAAAATCATTGATTGGCTGCTTCCTGCACTCCCCCCACTGGGGATCGAGCCTGCAACCTTGGCATGTGCCCTACTGGGAATTGGACCGTGACCTCCTGGTTTATAGGTCAGTGCTCAGCCACTGAGCCTGAGCCAAGCTGGCCCGGCTCAGATGTGATTTTTTATTTCTCAAAGGTAGAGATCTTATAGACACATGGGCCAGTGATTAGAATGTTTTTCTACACATGCATTTTTGTCTTAGGTGACTGGTTTCTGTCTTTTTTTTGGTCTTAATTTAGTTTATTGAGGTGACATTGGTTTAGTTTCTTTCATTTAATACAATTTCTTTTATTCCGCCTCTTTTGTTTTTTGGGGTTATTTTTTGTTGTTTTTTTTCATCAACCAGAGTCTCATTATATATAATTTCTTATTTTATGTTAAAAAAAATGTGTTCATTGACTAACGTATGACTTAAATGTATAACAAAAAATATGAAGTGTTTTCCCTGCCTCACCTGGTTAGTAAAGTTTTTGATAACGTGAAGATCAGGTGTAACAGAGAGATTTATTTACTAGTAAGTGCAAGCCAGCTGAGACATGTAGAGGAATGCAGCTCAAAGTTTGGTCTACAGACCAGTGCCATCGAGCCAGCATTTCCTTTCTGGCATGAGCTCCTTAGTTTATCTTAGGCTGCTTACAGGAATGGGCTTTGCTAGCAAGGCCTTGTGACAGGAAATGGATCTATAGGACTCTGTGAAGTCCCTCTGAAGGTCAAGGTTTCTACTGTCTTGTAATGGAGGTGAAATGTTTTTTAGCTGTTCGCCCTCTCCGAGCCAGGAGTAAGCCAGCAGCAATCTCGGTCCGGCCCTTCCTCTCCGCAACGGGATTAAGCCAGCACCTTTTCGCGCACACAGTTCTCCGTACCTTCACAGTTGCTGAGGTTCAGCGTGCCTTCTCTCTCCTTCCCAGATGGCAGAGCCTCCTCTCAGCCAGCCGTCTGGCGCTTCAGGGCAATGCCTCCCCTGTTTTTCAGTTCTAAATTCAAATTTGTTGTGGTAGGCTGCATTCGGGTGTCTAGCCTATGCCGCCATCTTGGTTTCTCTCCGGAGGTGAAATGTTTTTTAGAGCATTGATTTTTCTCAGATTTATAGTCATTACTTTGAAAATATACTCCCAGGATTTTTAAATATTTTGGCTTGTTGTTTTATTTTGGTTTTTATTATTTTTTAAAGCATCGTGATATCTATTGATATTTATTTATTTATTTATTTACTTTAATCCTCACCTGAAGATATTTTTCCATTGATTTATTTATTTATTTTTATTTATTATTTTTTTTTTTTTAGAGAGTAGAATGGAGGCAGAGAGACACACACAGAGAGAAACGATGTTAGAGAGACACATTGATTGGTTGCCCCACCCAGACTAGGGCTTGGGATTGAGCCTGCCATTTTAATGCAATTTTTTTTATTTTGCCTCTTGTTTTTTGGGTATGTACCATTGACCAGAATCAAGCCCAGGACCCTTCAGTCTGTGGGCCAACACTCTATCCACTGAGCAAAACTACCTAAGGCTAGCTTGATGTTTTAGATTGTGTTTTGTTTTGTTTTGTTTTGTTTGTGTGTGTTTTTCTAGATAAGAATTTCACTTCTTTTGGTTGCATAAGCTCTTCATGATGATGCCCCTGTTGGTTTCCAATATCTTAGCCAAATAACACAGCACTTTACACTTTGGTTACAAAGCATTATGCTATACACAATGTCATTGATGCCCCTATGACATGGAGATGGCAAGTACTTGATACTGCCTTTCACAGTTCACAGATGAAGAGAATGAGGGTCAGCTAGTACATTTCAGAGTTAAGTGTAAGGTAACTAATTGGGCCTTTAATGCTTTTTAAAAAACACTAGATTTATCTTTTTGAAGAGAATTTCTATTTGCTCTGCTTTAACTTTAAATATGGGAACAAGTTTTCTCAACTGCCTTCAATGCTTTTTGGAATGAAGAAAGGTATGTTAATTGTCTGTTACATGCATAGTCACTGTCACCCTTGCAGACGTCACTATCCAGAACAGTGAGCTGATGAGTGGCAGCATGGACAAAGGAACACTGGGATCAGGATCCAAGAACAATATTTTTTACATTTTGCTGCGAGACTGGGGACAGAATGAAGCTGCCGATGCCATGTCAAGGCTTGCCAGGCTGGCTCCTGTCTACCTCTGTGAGTATCTCAGCATCCTCGTTTTATGCTGTATTTGCTGGGGTTTCTTCTGCTACTGTTTCATCTCCCTTCTCACTCCACACACATACACACACAGAGAAAAGCATATCTATTCTAAGCTAAACATTATGCTTTCTTCAGTTAAATGAATGTGATACTGACTCATAGACGGCATCTTTGCATTCCTTTTCAGTCTCTTCTCTAATCTATAGGGCTCCCTGTTGCTACCAGATAGGATTGGGTTACATAAAGGGCCTTGTGTGGGCTGCTTCCAAGGTTTCTATGCACTCACTGTACCCTCTGGGCCTTCCATGATTCAGCCCTACCAGATTTCTTCCCTACTACCCTGGCACTGTTCTATTTTCTGTGTTTGCTCATGTTTTGAGCATGTCATGAGTCAAGAGATCTTTACTGCCCCCAAACATCTTTAGTCTACTCACTTGATTGATTCTTTGGCTGGGTATAGAATTGAAAATTGAAAATTATTTTACCTCAGAATTCTGAGGATAGCACTTTATTTTATTCTATTCTAGCTGCCAGAGTTGCTATTAAAGTGTATTTCTATTTTTATACCCAAATTTTTGTATTGAATTGTCTTTTTATTCTGGAAACATTAAGAATCCTCTCTTTGGTTTTGGTATTCTAAAAGTTCACAGTGATACATACATCTTTGGTAGTATGGGTATTTTACCATTCATTGTTGCTGAGCACTCTATAAACTCTCTTAATTTACAATTATTTGACTTCAGTTCTGGAAATTTTCTTCTATTATTTTTCTGATAATATTCTCTGCTTTACTTCCTTCTTTCTTTTTGGCATTTCTATTAATTATCTACTAAAGCTCCTGGATTGACTTTCTCTCTGATTTAATCTTCTTTTCCTTGTTTATTTTTTTGTTTTCATATTATCTTTTAACACTTCTATTTAAACATACTTCTCACTATCATATATTTAATTTCCAACCATTGTTTTTATCTTTTTTATGTTTTGTTTTTGTTTTTTGTTTTTTGTGTTGTTGTTGTTTTTTTGAGAGAGAGAGAGAGGGAGGGAGGAAGGGATAGGGATAGAGAGATAGGAACATTGATGAAAGAGAAACATCATTGATCAGCTGCCTCCTGCATGCATCCTACTGGGAACCAAGCCCATAATCCTGGCATGTGCCCTGACCAAGAATTGAACTGGTGGCCTCTTGATTCCTGAGTTGATGCTCAACCACTGAGCTACACTGACTGGGCTTTTTTTTTTTTTTTTTTTTTTTTTTTTAGTTTCTTGTTCTTTTTTTTTTAAATCCTCACTTGAGGATATTTTTTTCATTGCTTTTAGAGAAAGTGGAAGGGAGAGAGACAGAAAGAAACACTGATGTGAGAGAGGCACATCATTTGGTTGCCTTTGGCATGTCCCCAGCCAGGGCCGGGAGCCTGCAACCGAGGTACAGGCCCTTGACCAGACTCAAACCTGGGACCCTTCAGTCGCAGGCTGATGTTCTGTCCATTGAGCCAAAGAGGCTAGGGCAAGGCTTCCTATTCTTACTACCCAGATATACCCTCTCTATCACTTTGAGAGAATATTGCTCAGTTTTATTTTATTTGCTCTCTGAATATTCTTATAGTTTCTTTTTTCTGTGTGTTTGTTGCCTTCTGTCTTCCATGGTAATGAGTTTCCTCAAATATCTGGTTCTCTGGCTGTCATTTATATTTTATGAGTGAGGCACAAAAACACTGATTGGAAATGGAGTTGATTGGCTGATAGATATCTCAGTTTATTAATTGAGCTGGAAACCAGCTTTTTGATTGAGGAACTACCCAGTATCCCTATTAGTAATGTTTTCTCCAGAGAGACTTGGTTTCTCCAGAGACCTCTTTCTATCTCAACCTCCTTCCCTAGGATGGAGACCAGGCTGCTGGGATTCTGGGAGCTGGACAGGAAAAGGGCTGAGGAACCTGCGCCATGGACTATGAAGACCTTCCCTTAGAGTCTGATTGTAGCCATCCCCATCTGTCTGCACCCAGTATCCCCCATCCAGACTCTCTCTACTTGCATTTGTTTGTGTAGTAAACTCCCATCTCCCACAGGGGTAAGGCCCTGGGCCTGCTCTTTGTGCAGATTTTACACTGGGTTTCTCTTTCCAACACATACACCAGCTCTAACACCTGCAGAGCCTGGTGATCTAGCTTCTGAGCCTTTCCATTGGTCCTCATTTCCATAGCATTTGTAGTCATCTTACTCCCAACCTCTCATCTGCTCACTTCCTACATATATTGGGACTAGGATCATTGATGGCGTATGGTTCCAGCAAGGTGGAGTTTACATTTTTTCTTGCTCTCTGTGTTTTGGGATGATTCCTGGAAAGAGAAACCAGAATTGGGGGGTGTGGGGCAGAATCTAAGTCCCTGTGATGCTACTGGAGAACCAGAAGTCAGATGTTCCATTGGTAGGTGGGACATACCGTACTCCCACTAAATTGTAATCTCTGAGAGAAGTGAGTCTTAGTCTGGATTGTGTTTCTAGGGACTGATACAGTAAGTTTTTTGCTTGTTTGATACAGTAATTTAAAAAAATATATATTTTTATTGATTTTTTACAGAGAGGAAAGGAGAGAGATAGATAGCTACAAACGTCGATGAAAGAGAAACATCGACCAGCTGCCTCTTGCACACCCCCCACCGGGGATGTGCCCGCAACCAAGATAATGCCCTTGACCAGAATCGAACCCGGGACCCTTCAGTCCGCAGACCGACGCTCTACCACTGAGCCAAACCGGTTTCGGCTGATACAGTAATTTTTAATGTAGTTTAATTATGACAGATCCTCTGAAGGTATAAACTTGTTTCCACATAGTAGTTTGATTGACATCCATGACTCAATCTTCTTTACCTGTCAACTATTCCACAGCAAACCGTGGATTCTCAATTGGGATTGGTGACGTCACACCTGGTCAAGGACTGCTAAAAGCCAAGTATGAGTTGCTGAATGCTGGCTACAAAAAATGTGACGAGTACATCGAAGCCCTAAACACGGGCAAGCTGCAGCAGCAGCCTGGCTGCACCGCGGAGGAGACGCTGGAGGTGAGTCTGGTTCTTCGGGCAGTCAGTTCTGCCACGTGCTCCTGGGAGGAGCTGTCAGCCACAGAGAGAAGGTAGCTGCGGGGAGAGGGAAGAAGAGGCAGTGGCTTCAGCCTCGTCTTGGCCCTGTGCTGCTTGTGTGTATTTAATGAGGGGAGGGCCTTTGGTCAGGCCCCTTACGTCCCTCTCAGCTGTCACATTCTAGGTGGTGAAGACACAGCCCTATCTGTTCATTTGGCCACACGGGGCTGCTGTGTTCAGACATCACACTTGGCCCTTCTGGAGCTGGTAAAGTGCTTCTGCCATGTCTGTTTCCCACACCCTTCGCCTACAGGCTGGCACTGCCACTGTCTAAATGTATGGTCTTTGAAAGAGACTTGGGTACAGAAGATGGAAAATTCATGTCAAGAGTCATGTACCAGAGTGCCGCCCCTCTGCCCCCTTTGGGAACTAGGTTAGCTGAGAACAAGACCAGCACATATCCAAGTCAGAATCACAACCATCCTTTGAGAGCCCTGCGTGTTCTCTGAAGCAGCCCGGTCAGCAGTCTGTCTGCACCGGGTTTGCCTGGTTCTCCAGAGGAAGGGCTCTGTAAGCAGTAAGAAGTTTTCTGATCAAGTGAATTTTTAAAGCAGGTTGTGTGAGGTTATCACCCTTTCTAGCTCATCCTTAATCTCACTTAAGTCTGAAAGAGGGCTGGGGGGAGAAATGGGAGGTTCTCATCTAGCAGTGTTTCCCAAAGTGTGGTAGGCGTACCCCCAGGGGTACAGGAAGAGTTTGGTGGGGATATGCACTGCACTGTGCTTAGCTGTGCCTAATTGTACGTTCTCATGAGTACAAGGGGTACTCAGCGTTACAAAAATTATAGAAGGGGTACACATATGTCAAAAGTTTGGGAAACACTGATCTAGAGAATTACTTGAGGCCGCAGCAGCACTCACTTTTACTGGAACCATGGCCCTGAGTGACTAAGCCTCCTGAGTTGGGGGTTGAGGAAGGACAAGAGTGGATGAGCTGGAGGACTGGAGCATTCCAGGGGAGTCACCTCATCGCACGCTTCACTGTGGGAGTTCAAATGTGTTCTTGGCAAGAAAAACTAGACACATTTTATAAATAGTCCAGGCATTGTCTTTCCCTGTGCACATTTACTCAGGCATGTGTGTGCACAGCGATAGACTTGCTGATATGTGTTGTATGGTTCTGTGCACACAGCCACACACATTCTCCTTACTATCATTGAAAGGGTTGCTCGGGGTTTTGTTACTAAGCCTCTTTACCTCACACACTGATTTGGAATCTTGTGGAAGATGTTGATCTGTGCATAAAGGGCATCCTGGTCTTCCAAGGCTCTGAAACCTCTATCTTTTGGAAATCTGACATCTTAAATATTTTCACATTTCCTTAAATTGTACATTTGTCATCAGCAGAGCCAGTGAGGGTGACTCCACACCTCCCTCTCTCCCACCAGGCTCTGATCCTGAAGGAGCTGTCGGTGATCCGAGACCATGCGGGCAGCGCCTGCCTCCGGGAGCTGGACAAGAGCAACAGCCCCCTCACCATGGCTCTGTGCGGCTCCAAAGGTGCGTGCTCTGACCGCCACGATCAGTGTATTGTCCGTATGGAGTGGCCGTATTCTCCATATGGACTGGCTGGTTCTGTTCTGCAAAATGTAGGAATCATAACTTCAAATAGACCTTTTGTTTATAAAGGCATATCTCTTTAAATCAGGTTCACTCATATGTTGTTTAAAAAAAAAACACACCTGTATTTTCGATCCACGGTTGGGAATCTGCGTATGTAAGGGCTGACTTCAGTTACATATGGATTTTTGACTGCAGGCAGCTGATGCCCATCACCCTCACATTATTCAAGGGTCAGCTGTATATAGAAAAAGAACTATTTACATTTTGGGGAGTTGATTAATCTAGAGCACATGTGTCAAACACAAGGCCCACGGGCCAAATCCGTCCCGCCAGGCCTTGCAATGTGGCCCGCACCGCGCTGTCATCACTGCACTCCACTGCGTTTCCATCACAATGACAGTTTATGACTGTTCAGTAAACCATTCGGCCCGCGATTTAGGCTGGATTTTAGATTTTGGCCCCTTCTCTGATTGAGTTCGACACCCCTAATCTAGAGGAACTTCTTGGTAATGTGTGTGGGGAGAGCCTTTGGTCAGACCCCTTACATCGCTCTCAGCTGTCACATTCTAGGTGGTGAAGAAACAGCCCTATTGTTCATTTGGCCACACGGGGATGCTAAGTTTGAGGGTGTTTTGAGCAACTTTAAAACAACTTTTAAAAAGCTAAAAAATAATATATAGTATTTAGTGATGAAGCAAAACGCTTTTAATTTCACACCTACCCAGGATCTTAAAACATTAGGTTTCATGGTGCTGTGCTCAAATTCAAAACCTCTATGCTTCCCCTATTTCTAAAAATTTTTTACAGATAAAGTTCAAATTCTTTAACTTTACTGCCTTTAACCACAATATTCTACTTTTTTGCTCCTTGCACATGCCTCACCCTTTCCCTGAAGAGTCTTGCCTCCAACTCTGACGTGCTTGCTGGTGCTTGCTGTGCTGCTCCAAGCACCTCTAGCCCTCACCCCGCCGCCTTCCCTGTTACCGAGCTCTCCCCTAGGCTGTGACCTTACTGTGGGGAGGGGCCGGGTCTGCATTACAAGCTGTTTTATTCCAGGATCTGCTTGCACTTCAGTTAGTGTTATTTCAGTAAATGATGTTATATTCCTGACCTGTTTCCCCAGGTTCCTTCATTAACATATCACAGATGATTGCCTGTGTGGGACAGCAAGCCATCAGTGGCTCCCGAGTGCCAGATGGCTTTGAAAACAGGTCCTTGCCTCACTTTGAAAAACACTCAAAGGTAAGCCGTGGAGGGTCAGGCAGAACTTAAGGACAGCCATCCGCAGTGCAGAAGTAGCTGAGCTCTGCAGCTGCCAACCATATACAAGGGCTGGCACTGCTCAGGGTCGTTATTGCCCCTTCAATCCAACTGGGTCTCGTAGAAGGAGCCTGGTAACACTTGGACAATGCCCCTTTTGAAGTTCCTCTCCGAGGAGGAGGATTTCAGGTTCCCATCCAACTTAAGCCATCAGAATGAATATTTACATATATGTTCAATCTGTTTGCTTATTTGGGGGAGATTTACATAAAAGTTAAGGATTTTTAAATAGTTTAAACCACACGTAAGCCAAACAAGAAATTTTAGGTTCTCCCTCTGGAATTCTCAAACTCAGCTTTTTAATGTCTTCTGAATTCTATTAGCCTTGTGGTTTGGGCGCTAATGTAAGCAGAGAGAGGCAAACCTGTGCTGAGGTTGTTCTGGGACTCAGGGCAGACAACTGTTAAACCTGTAGTTACAGAACTTAAAGTAGATTTGGGCCCTCAGTGAATTCTGGGTGTGGAGTCCAACAGCTCCTGCCACTTGGAACTGCAGTATTTCTGTTCAGCCCCTCCTAGGCAAACAGCACTGCTGTCCTGAGATGTATGGAGTCTGGGTATGAGGTAGCTCCAGGAACAATGCAGGTCCTCTGCTCCTGGTCAGAATTCACCAGCAGTCAGGCAAATAAGTGGTCGCTGGAATGGTACCTGCCTGTGTGTCGGGCTTAGAGTTGTAGGGCAGCTGACTAGTTTGGAGGAGAGGCCAAGGGCATCCAAACTTCTCGGTCCCTGGGCCAGTGCTAGATTAGACTTGGGGAAGTCTGCTTGCGTAGAAAGGTCTTTGAGTCCACAGGTTGCCCCTTAAACACAGTAAGGAAGCAAGAGGTTGGTCTGTTCTTCTCAGTTGTCCTCTAAGGAGCATAGACTATCCAGACCAAAGGCTATTTGGCCATTTCACATGGTGCTTTACATATGTGCATATTGTTAACAGTATCACTGAAATACATTGTATATGTCATAGTCACCCATTCAAAGTGTACAGTTCAGTGACTGAATGTACAGTTAGTAAGTATATTCACATGATGGTGTGATCATCCCCATCATCTAATTTTAGGACATTTCCCACACCCCAAGTGAACCCCATAAACAGTAGCAGCTCATGGCTATGTTCTGGAGGTGGATAGGCTGGCATAGGAAGGATGTCTTTAAGGGAGTCACTACTTCCCAGGAAACGGGCTGGCTGCTGCGGTCAGTGAGTGCCCTCCGAGGTCCTTGGCTGCCCGTCTGTTCTAGGGATGGCAGCCCAGGCTTTGGTTTTCTCTCCTGAGCCACTTGCCTGCCACTGGCACCAGCACCAGCCCTGGCGGGGACCTCACCCTCCTTGTCTCTGGTAAGAATGGGTTGTGCCAAATTATTTCTCATTTAGGGGAGAGTATACAAAGCCTGCCACTTCAGAGAGTGCAATGGCCAAGGATTTCTAGCTGGAAGGGGTGGCATTTTCTGATGTGAATGGGTTTTGGAATGGTGGACCCAGTATTTTTGTTTGATTTTTCTTTTTTTCTACCTCTCTTTAGCTCCCAGCTGCCAAAGGCTTTGTGGCTAATAGCTTTTATTCTGGTTTGACACCAACTGAGTTTTTCTTCCACACAATGGCTGGCCGGGAAGGTCTAGTCGACACAGCCGTAAAGACAGCTGAAACGGGATACATGCAGGTAATTGAAGAAATGTAGGCCATTGGCAACAGAGTAGGACAGAGCTCTGTGGATTTTGACTGCTGAGTGTTTACATATTTTGTGCATGAGCTAAAATGTACCCTGTTTGGTAATAAAAAGGAAAAATTAAGAAACAGAAGAAATTAACAAAAAAGGGTAATGTTAATCTTCCAAATGCTGTGTACCTCGAATGATCAAGACCAGGCCAGAGCCACACTTTGCAAGGCTCTATGGGAGGAGAATGTGCATTCTGGAACATAAGGGTTGACCCTCACTGAGCCTGTTTCCTAATGCACACAGTGGGAGTGGCAGTGCATACCTCCTGTCTATGGAGAGGACTCTGCTTCACTTTGCAGCTGTGTGTATACTAACTCATTATTAGTATCATCTATCTTGGCATTTTGGTGCCCGCAGGGGAGCTGGGAGGGAAGGCTCCCCACTGTGTGTGCAGTCTAGGATAACAGGGCCAGGGGGTTAATTTAAACTAGAGGTTTCCTGTGCCCTTGATGCAGAGGAGTGGAAACACATTCCTGCTTTGTTCTACCTTAGACTGAAAAAAAAAATCCTTAGCAAGGGATTTTGTTTTGTTTCGTTGTGTTTTGTTTTTTTCCAGTCTAATTTTTATTTCTTCTCTGTACTAGTAATATATGTTTATTTAGTTTTAATGTTTTTACCTACTATACAACACCAAGTAAAGTTAACTCTTCAAGTTGCTGGACCATGAACTCGCTGTAGCTTTGTGTCCTCTGTCTCCCACCACTGTGGATGCCAGTCTGAGAAGCATGGCCCTTTGCAAACTGGGAACCAGGGATGTGGGCGAGTGGGCCAGACAGACAAGGCCGCTGAGGGTGAAATCGGCTCTAGCCAGTAGACACCTACTTCTCTACCCTCTTCTGTAGGTCGTGTGGTGTGTCATTACTGATATTTCCCTTTTCATCATCTTTTTTTTTTTTTTTAATATATTTTATTGATTTTTCACAGAGAGGAAGGGAGAGAGATAGAGAGCCAGAAATGTCGATGAGAGAGAAACATCGACCAGCTGCCTCTTGCACACCCCCTATTGGGGATGTGCCCGCAACCAAGGTACATGCCCTTGACCGGAATCGAACCTGGGACCTTTCAGTCTGCAGACCGACGCTCTACCACTGAGCCAAACCGGCTTCGGCCCTTTTCATCATCTTTTGATGGGAAATTGCCCTTCAGTTTTGGAGTGTGCTGCTTTTGTCAAAAGCCCAAGGACTGAAATGCTTTTACCACTCTTGCCAGAATGTCTTTGACTCTATTTTTTGTCTTTACGTTTTGGAGTAGAATATGGATTTCCCAGAGCAGTGTGTTAACCTGGAACAAATTGGTTCTGGCAGCAGGGGTTTTTGTTTTGAAGTTGCCTGGAGGAAGAGTTCTTTCTCCCTAATTCACTGAGCCACCCTCACATTACTGTTGCAGTGGGTTCTGCTGGGAGAAGGTGTTCCCTGAGCAGATTTGAGAAATGGCCGCTGCCTGCTGGTTCAGACACAATGCTGGCCCTGTTCTTCCCCTGTCCCAGAAGAGGGTCTGTACCTGATCCTCTGTAATTCATATTGAAGTCCACGGGGGTCCGAGATTAAGTTGTGTTTAGAAATTCAAAGCTGTTGCATTAATTTATACCTTAGGGAGAAAGGGAGAGGAGGCACAGCAGGCTAGGAAAACAGTGTTCGCATATTCCTTCAGGGTAGATGGGGTTTAAATTGCAGGTATTCTAAAACACACCAAAGTGCTGGAGGTTGGGCACATTCTAAACCCCACTGGACAGGTTAGTGAGGCAACTTGGCCTCATTCTTGGGGTTAGGGGGATCTTTTTAAGGGATTTCTAATAAAATGTTTTTATGTGATTTAAAGGGCTAGTAACCTTGAAACTTAGAGTTGGGAATCTCATCCTCTGCACATGTGACTAGTCTTTGTTTTCTGTTTCATTCCCTTTAGAGAAGGCTTGTGAAGTCCCTTGAAGACCTTTGTTCACAGTATGATTTGACAGTCCGAAGCTCTACGGGAGATATCATACAGTTCATTTATGGGGGAGATGGCTTAGATCCCGCAGCTATGGAGGGAAAAGATGAGCCCTTGGAGTTTAAAAGGGTTCTGGACAACATCAAAGTAAGATTTAGTGTTATATCTGGGGATGGAGTGTTCTTAGGATGGAGGTGCCCTTTGGAAAATCACACACAGTTTAATGCTCAATCATATCTACCCAACTACTGGCTTAGTATTTTCCTTTTATGTTACTCTGTATAAGTTTTCCAATATTAAAGGAAAATATTTTCTCAATTTCAAAGTCTAGTGTTAGTCATCAAATCCAGTAGAAGGGGACTTTTGTTTCTGTGTAACAGGCCAGTGTTATAAGTCATGGGTGTGAAAAGCAGTTACATTTCACATAATTTAGAGCAGCCTTTTAGAAGGTAGTTTGACAGTATCGATCTGAATTAAAATGTGGGTGCCTTTTGCTCCCATAGTTCCTCTGAGAGGAACCAGCCCTGCAGAAATTATCTAAGGGTGCCAAGAGTTTTCCAGCACTGTTTGTGGTAGAGGCAGACCATCAGGGAGGAGAATTCAGATACATAGTGGTCTGCCTGTGCATTAGGATGATAAGGAGCCCTTACATCTTTGGGGAAATGCTATGAGCTTGAGGGTGGAGGAATATTTTCACTCTTAAAATATTTGGAATTTTTTAAAACAACAATTTGTATCTTTTATGCAAATCTGGGTTGGGTGAAGTTTGGGAGCAATGTGATAATACCCAGAAGTCTTTGTGTAAGTGGAGTACCAGTTTATCGTTTCCACCTTCATATAAAGGTAGAATCTAAAACTCATTTTGAAGGAGAAAAACATCACAGGTTGCTAGAAGATCCCTCTAAGTATCCTGTCTCTTGTAGCTTCTTTCATTTAATATTTCCCCCTTCTCCGTTGCCCCCCACATCACGCTTTGTCCTTTGAACACTTGAGGCAGTCTTCCCGTGTCAGAGCGAGCCTGCGCTCAGTAAGAACGAGCTGGTCCTGAGCACCGAGTCCATCATGAAGAAGCACGAGTTCCTCTGCTGCCAGGAGAGCTTCCTGCAGGTAAGCTCCGGTGCTGATCGCCCCCCTGGCTGTCACCGGAAAGTGGTGGCCAAGGCCAGCGGGGACTTTCATGAAATGGGGAGTGGGGGTGGGGGAGGTTGTGTAAGAGTGTTTCTTTGTTTAAAAAATTAAGCAAAAGAATGGCTGAGGCAAAATCTCTGCAGCCAATGTGAAGAATTTATCTCATGTCTTTCTTAGTTTGTGGCTTCTACACAGTGTTTTCCTATTAGAAGAATGTTAGAGAACTGATTTGTGCGTCACCCCTCCTGTGTACTAGCTCTTCTTTGTTCATTCTGAATTCCAGTAATTTGTATTGGTAGGGGGCTGTCTCAGTGCCCTTTTAAGTCACTCTTTCTCCTACTCCAGTATGGATCAGAAATCTGTGAGTCTGCCCTGCTTTTTCTTCGGAGGAACTGGTACCTCTTAGCGTTTTTTTTGTTGTTCGTTTTTTGTTTTTGTTTTTTTAATGTCACTGACCCGTTTAAGCAGCTCCTTTCTCTTTATGTGGTTATGATCAAAAGCAAAGGGATGCAGGAACCAGTTGTTTCTTGTTTGTACTGATTGGTTATTCAAATGCAGCAAAAAACAGCAGGAATGTATCCCTTTCAGTATATCAGAAATAAAAGCCATGCCCAGCTGGTGTGGCTCAGTAGTTGAGCCAGGAAGTCATGGTTCATTTCCAGGTCAGGGCACATGCCTAGGTTGTGCATTCAATCCCCAATAGGGGGCGTGCAGGAGGTAGCCAATCAATGATTCTCTCATCATTGATGTTTCTATCTCCCCTTCTCCCTTCCTCTCTCTGAAATCAGTAAAAATATATTTAAAACATTTTAAAAGCCACAGAGTGAAAGTACAAGGATACTTTGAGTTAAGGAAGCTTCACTTTCTTTCATGTGTTGAGGAGTGAAAGGGGAAAAAGAATCTTACAGAAAGTAATATGTTTAAATCAAGAGTATGGCTAGGCTGGGAGCCTTTGTTTTAATGTTTTTCCATAGATTTTTTTTTTTTTAACTAACAAGTTAGAGTTATGGTTTTGTTCTTCTACATCATCATATTTGCTTACATATTTCTCTGTTTATTCTTGAAGACCTTTACTGAGACAGGCTATGAGAAATATAACGAGGTAACGCACTTCGCATGCTGCCGCTGCTGAGCGTAGAGGGGTGAACCGAGCAGCACTCGGCTGCTTGCCAGCTCTGGAGACGACAGCCCTTCATCCTAGGGCTGGCAAGCAGGCCTCCTGTGCGTCACTTCGGACTGGCCTCTGGCTTGTCTTTGACAAGGGTTATGGGTGACCTCTGACCTCAGTGTTTATTTAGTCAGTGAGCAGCACTGTGTCATACACTGTGCAGGTCCTGGGAACACAAAGATGACTAAACATGTCCTTGCCCTTCAGTGGCTCACAATCTGGTGAGCTCAGTCTTTCCAAGAGGGTTCAAAATCCGCTGGCCAGACAGATTTGTCTGCGCCTCTGAGCTGTGTCCCGGCCCTCGCCTTGCCAGAGCTGAGGCAGCGGAGGCGGCTGCTGAGTGGCGTTGAGCCCTGGCCCTGCCAGAGGCTGGTGCCCCTGCTCACAGACTGCTGTGGTGTGGGTGTGAGAACCTAACTGCTAGTTAAGCTTGTGATTAATCGCCTGTCACTTGCCATGTTGTGAGTTCCCTGTAGTATGCATGGGTTGATTCAGCTGAATTCTTAGTAGCTTATTTCAGTTTTCATTTCTGCAAAATGAGCCCTTTTTCTTAACCTCCAGAATGTCTAACTTTTGTGTAAGTCATTTCAGCAAAGCCGCTGGAAGCGGGTCCCTGTAGGTGGCCGCTAAAGGTTCGTTTCCAGAGCCTGAGCTGGGGAGTGGCTTTAGGTGTGTCCTCTCTACTGTGTGTGCAGAGTTCCTCCAGATGCCCGGCCGCGGGATCTCTCTCCAGTTTCCCCGCACCGGCAGGTGGTGCACCTTTAACACCCGGCGACAGTGGCAGCATCTGAGCCAAGAGGATCTCAGGAGCTTTCTCTAAAAGCAGCGGCTAGACAAGAAGGCGGGGAGGAAGTCAGCAATGTGGAAGAGGCTCTTCCCACGGATAACATAGAGGAAAAGTGAGGCAGCACAGCGCGTGCTGCCTTTGAATAGTCCCTGTGAGGCAGAGTCACGCCCGGGGGGAGGGCTCTGCTCTGTGGTGTGTGCTCTCAGCTCATTTGAGAAGTGCCGAGTCAGTCCTATCAAGTGTGACCCCTGGGAGCCGCACTCTGAAGGGGGCAGTGCGTCACAGCGCAGCACACCCTCGTAAGCACTGCCGGGAGGAGGTGATGGCTGTCCTGGTCCTGGGAGTGACCAATGCGCTGGCTTTATTTCACAGACACACTGTCAGCTGTAAAACAGATGGTTTTCTCCCCTCTGGGGGTTGCCAGAAAACTTTGCCTCAGGTCTGTGGTCTCCAATACTGCCCTCCTCGTGATGTACTTCTCACCTTCCTTGCTCCACTTTGTCTCCATCCTGCTGCTTAAAGTTCTGTTCTTCCGTCCTTTTTTGTTTTTTTGTCCTTTGAGAGTACTTAAATACAGCAGCAGGAATAGCAAATATACTGATGTTTCAATTCTAGCTGAGAGCGGTTTCCAGGAACCCTTCCAAATTTCTGATTATGTGGGAGGGAGTCGGAGACTGAGGGGTGAGGCTGAGGTGAGAGTAAGGGAGCTGAGTGTGGGGGTGTTTCCTTTGAAATGTACATAATGTCTGCAAAGCTATGCTTTAGCCTGTTAGTTTTTAAATTGATCATAATGACTTCAGGAGAAAATCTAAAGTTAATCAGTCTAGAAACTAAGTATAACAGTGCATTTCTACCTGCTCTGAGCTGTGTGAATGGAGGCAGTGTGTATGCCTGGAGAGCAAAGGGACAGCGGAAGGTAAGAAGGCTTACCTAGTGTAAGGGCGACATGGCAGGGCCAGGAAAGTGATGGTGTGGGCCATTGCTGAAGCATTACTGGAGAAAAGAAGGCCCTAGAAACATCTGAACCAGTGAGCGCTGTGGATGTGGATGATTAGGTTATCCCTTGGTAGAACATTTTGTAGTAAGAACTTTATCCATGTTGTATCCTTTAAAGCACATGTGTCAAACACAAGGCCCTCGGGCCAAATCCGTCCCGCCAGGCCTTGCAATGTGGCCCACACCGCGCTGTCATCACTGCACTCCGCTGCGTTTCCATCACAATGACAGTTTATGACTGTTCAGTAAACCATTCGGCCCGCGATTTAGGCTGGATTTTAGATTTTGGCCCCTTCTCTGATTGAGTTCGACACCCCTACTTTAAAGTATGCATTTAGCTGTCAGTATGTTAGTGATACCATGGCTTGCCTATTACTGAAGTTTATAAAACACATCATATCATCTGAATTATTGATATTTGCTATGTAATCATTCAGGAAATAAAGGAATTCATTAAGGGGGTTTCTGAGAAGATCAAGAAAACCAGAGATAAATATGGCATCAACGACAATGGCACAACAGAGGTAAATGGCCTTCCCGGCTGGAAGGGCGGACACTCGGGTATTTTCAGGTGCCAGCCCTAATTCTGCACTTGGTTTTCTTCTCCAGCCCCGGGTGCTGTACCAGTTGGACCGGATCACCCCCACCCAAATAGAAAAGTTTCTGGAGACCTGCAGGGACAAGTACATGAGGTAGGATGCTCACCGTCTTAGACTACTGGTAGTCACAAGGGTCTCAGAGCCTTCCTCTTGGCCCATGGGAACAGAATTCTGCACCAACACCACTTAATGATTGCCTGTACAAACGGATGCTCCAAGTTGTGGAATTGCAAAGAAATTTCCAAGTGTTTTCTCCCCACAGAGAAATTAATATATATTTGGCAGGCGCCATTCCTGTCTCTGCCTTCAGTTCCATTTGTTAGCAGGCTCTCATAGCTTCTTCAGGCAATAGACTTGGGGCCCAGTCGTTGCACGTTGACCACAAGCAGGCACACCGTATTCAGTTTCATCATCTGACCCTTCTGGGCATTGTGTCTCCTGTATGCACGTATTACCGATCTATGCCAGTTCCTCCTCTGCCACCAGCACAGCTTGGCTCGTTGAAATTCCTTCCTGACCCTGAAGGCATTTTTTTTCTGCTGAAAAGAAATAACCAGAAGCTTCTCCCTGGCAGTTTTACTGGACTTTCCATCCATATCTTTCTTCTAGGGCACAGATGGAGCCTGGTTCTGCGGTAGGTGCCCTCTGTGCCCAGAGCATCGGGGAGCCGGGCACCCAGATGACCCTGAAGACTTTCCACTTTGCAGGCGTGGCCTCCATGAACATCACCCTGGGTGTGCCCCGCATCAAAGAGATCATCAATGCTTCCAAGGCCATCAGGTGCCCGCCTCTGTTTCCCTTCTGCTCCCATACTGCCTGTCTCGTTTTTTCAGAAGCAGTGACTCTCTTGTCGTGTGTGCTGTTTAAATGGGCAGTATCTCAAACTTTAGTGGCATGCCTGTGTTAATCATATTTTAGCTTTTAAAAAAACTCTGGAAAAAAATACTAGTTGAAACTAGATACGTAAAGTCAAAATTGAAAAGTGGTTCTTTATGGCCATTGGTCACATGAAAGAGAGAAACCTAAGGAACTGCTGGGAAGATGACAGCAGTGTGGCAATGAAGATTTCAGACTTTTTTTGTTTTTGGTAATCCTTACCCAAGGATCTTTTAAGTTTCCCCTTTTTTTAGAAAGTGGGAGGGGGGTGGAGAGAGAGAGAGAAACATTGATATAAGAGAGACGCATCGATTAGTTGCCTCGTGTACGTGAACTGGCTAAGGCCAGGGATTGAACTTGCAACCCGGATACATGCTTTTGATCAGGAATCAAATCTGAGATCCTTCGGTGCACAAGCCAACACGCTAACCATTGCACACCTAGCCAGGACTAGGTTTCCCTTTTCTTTTTAAATGTTTTTACTGATTTTAGAGAGAGGGGAAAAGAAAGATATATATATCAATGAGAGAGAATCATTGAATGGCTACCTTCTGACACACTTCCTGCTGGAAATTGAGCCCAAAACCTGGGCACGTGCCCTGACCAGGAATCGAACTGGCAATTTCCTGGTGCATTGGTTGCACTTAACCACTGAACCACACGGCTGGGCAGGTTTCAAATTTTTGATGTTGTATTTCCAGCCTAACCAGGCCCGTGTCTACCATTTGGGCTGTGGTCATGTTCTGTGACTCCCATGTTATTTCATGATAGGATTTGTAGGTGATCTGAGATTAGAAAATAGAGAAAAATGTTACAGTGCATTTGATGATTCATCTGTGATCTGAGTAAACATAGCATTAAGTGAAGAAAAGCTGCCTGTGGCTGTGGAATGGCAACCATAGACGTCCACAGTGGCGGGGGCTCTGCCTGCCTTCTCCGGGGCCTCCGTCTCGTTCAGGAGTGTGTGTTCAGGGGACACTATCAGGACAGTGGGTGTTGGAGGAGCTGGAGGTGTCCTGGAGAGCAGGTTATGGGGCAGGGGAAAAGGAATGGCGGAAGCTATAATACACAAAGAGCCATTTTACTCAGGGAACAGAACTAATTAACTACTGATTAGGGCCAAAGAGGAAGAGATAGGTGGACTTGGTCAGAAAGAATTTCATAGAAGGCATTTCATTCACTGGTAGAGTGATTTGCCTCATGGACTCCAAAAATAGTAAATGTAAATGAGAATGTCTGGCCCTAGCTGGTTTGACTCAGTGGATACAGTGTTGGCCTGCAGACTGAAGGATCCTGAATTCGATTCTGGTCAAGGTCACATGCCCAGGTTGTGGGCTCGATCCACAGTAGGGGATGTACAGGAGGCAGCCAGTCAATGGTTTTCTCTCATCATTGATGTTTCTATTTCTCTCCCTCTCTCTTCCTCTCTGAAATCAATAAAAATATATTTTAAAATAATAAATGAGAATGTCTGAGGAAGCAGCTTGACAAAGCAAATGTTCAATTAGTTGCAGTTGCTTTTGTGTGCAGATTTAACAAGCAGCCATCTTCGAGCAGGCTTACTCCTCGTGCTGACATTGTTTTTGCTTTACTTTCCTCAGCACTCCAATCATCACGGCTCAGCTAGACAAGGATGACGATGCAGATTATGCTCGCCTCGTGAAAGGGAGAATTGAGAAAACTCTCTTGGGAGAGGTAAGGAGAAATCCCTTTTAATAATGAAAAAACTAGATCCATCATATTGCAAGGAAATATAAAAGCCAGGTGCTGTAGGTATGCCACTCGGTGTGTCCACACTATTCAATGTCCTTAAAAGAAAAGAGAGAGCAGGCCTGGCCAGGTACTCTGTTGGTTAGAGCATCATCCAGATACACCAAGGTTGCAGGTTTTATCCCCAGTCAGGAAATGTGCAAGAAGCAACCAATGAATGCATAAATAAGTGAAACAACAAAATCCCCTCCCTTGTCCTATCCCTCTAAAATCAACTTTAAAAAAAAGAGTAAGCAGGCCCTGGCCAGGTAACTCAGTTGGTTAGAGCAGCATCTCATAACGCCAAGGTGGGGAATTCAATCCCCAATCAGTACACATACAAGAAACAGCCAGTGTCTCAGCTGGTGTGGATCCGTGGTTGAGTGTCAACCCAGGAATCAAGAGATGGAGGTCCTATTCCCAGTCAGGGCACATGCCTGGGTTGCAGACTCAGTCCCCACAAGGGGAGTGCAGGAGGCAATCAATGGATAATGTTTCTCTCTCATCAGTATTTCTTTCTCCCTCTTCTTTCCTCTCTCAATGAATAGAAACATATATTTTTTTTAAATATATTTTATTGATTTTACACAGAGAGGAATTGAAAGGGATAGAGAGTTAGAAACATCGATGAGAGAGAAACATCGACCAGCTGCCTCTTGCACACCCCCCATTGAGGGTGTGCCCACAACCAAGGTACGTGCTTTTGACCGGAATCGAACCTGGGACTTTTCAGTCCCCAGGCCGACGCTCCATCCACTGAGCCAAACTGGTCTCGAAACATACTTTTTAAAGAAAGAAACATGCAGTGAATGCATTTAGAAAAAGGGAAAGTGGCTGACTAACATGCCGGTCTTCTGATACACAGATTTCAGAGTACATCGAAGAGGTGTTCCTCCCCGACGACTGCTTTATCCTGGTCAAGCTCTCCCTGGAGCGGATCAGACTCCTGAGGCTGGAAGTGAGTCGTTAACTAAACGTGTAGCGGCAGTCCCCCTGTCCGTCCCAGGCTGTGCCGGTGAAGAGGCCAGCACGGGCGCTGCAGAGGCTTGCCTTTGGTGCTTCTGTGTGAGTCTGTTGCACTTTCACGGTCTCTTTCTAAACCTGACCTGACACAGATGTTGCCATCGAACGTCACACAGGAAATTAGTTGAAATTTTGTGCAGGCACCGTACCCATTCACTATGACAAAGTGCTGCAGTATTGGTCTTGTCCATCTTCCCAGTGTCTAGAAGGGCCCTAGGGCTGTCTGTGTCTTCCAAATTTCTGGCCCCGGCGCCAGCACTGCACCTGGCTGGCTCAGGGAATGTTTTTGGGTGAACAGGTTACCATTACTTACCATATGGCATTTATGGTTGAAAGATTATCAGTCCTTCTCAGGGACAGACTGAGGCGGGGCATAAACTGAGTAACTTCTTGGCACTTTCCTCCCTCTCTGGGTAATTAAAATCCATACTAGTCTTCACACATTTTGTGCCCTTCTCTCAAGTACCTAGTTCATGTGTGTATGTTTTTTTTGTGTGTGTGTGTGTGTTTTAATATATTTTATTGATTTTTTTACAGAGAGGAAGGGAGAGAGATAGAGAGCTAGAAACGTCGATGAGAGAGAAACATCAACCAGCTGCCTCTTGCACACCCCCTACCGGGGATGTGCCCACAACCAATGTACATGCCCTTGACCGGAATCGAACCTGGGACCTTTCAGTCCACAGACCGACGCTCTACCACTGAGCCAAACCAGTTTCGGCCTCATGTGTGTTTTAATGGAAAGATGACCCAAATTGAGCAGCCAGTTTTCCAGGTTGGGGTTTCTCCAGGCTGGCTCTGGCCACCTGGCTCTGCCACCTGCCTCTGTCCTTTAGCATAAGAGCGGGACCGCATCGGGAGTGTAGACAGGAGTAGCTGTGAGGTCGTACAGGGGAAGTGGCACTGATGCTTTTAAATTGTCCTGGAAACCAACATCGCACTCCAGACTCCCCTGGAGCCCGGGTATGCTGCCATGAATTGAGCATGCATTTCCAGTGGGGTGTGGAGGGACTATAAAAAGAAACTGTTTTATAAATAAGCACAGATCAACATACAGTACGTAATAAATATAGTGTATCTCTAGTATTAGAATTTCATGGAGGGGAGAGAGATTGGGGGGGGGGGGGGGGAGCCTGAAAAGACTTCCTAGAGGGGCACGGTGACAAAAGGCTGAGGAATACTGGAATCAGAGGCTCCAAACCGTCAGTAATGCCCTGGGCGTGCGGCGCCCCGCCCCCGCAGGTGAACGCGGAGACGGTGCGGTACTCCATCTGCATGTCCAAGCTCCGAGTGAAGCCGGGCGACGTGGCCGTTCACGGCGAGGCCGTGGTGTGTGTCACCCCCCGTGAGAACAGCAAGAGCTCCATGTACTACGTGCTGCAGTTCCTGAAGGAGGACCTCCCCAAGGTGAGGCCACAGTCCCCCTAAGGCCCTGCCCAGCCAAGTGCCGGGAAGTTTGTAAGGGGATGCGTTTACCTCCAACGTCAGTACACAGGCCCCAGTGCACCCTAAGTGCTGTCACTACTAAGACTGAGGGGGTGCCCGTTTCGCCTTCTGTGCCACCCTCCTAAAGAATCAGTTGGTATTTTCTTAGTACAGTCACACCAGCTCTGTCTGTCAAACTCCTCTGTTCTCATAAAACTGTTCCCTGAACTGCTGCCTTCTCCCCGGACCTCAGGACGGTGGGCAGGACTTTCAGGCGCGGACGTCGCTGATGCTCCCCACTGAGAACAGGATGCTCCCGGGAACACCCGGGCCCGGCGTCCACTTCCTCTCTGCTGTGGTTTCTGAGGCTGCCGGGTGGTGGGGGCCACGACACTGCAGGGCCTCAGCGTCTGTGTCTCTGAGTCCAGGTGGTGGTGCAGGGCATCCCAGAAGTGTCCAGAGCTGTCATCCACATCGACGAGCAGAGTGGGAAGGAGAAGTACAAGCTCCTGGTGGAGGGTGATAACCTCCGGGCAGTCATGGCCACTCACGGCGTGAAGGGCACCCGAACCACCTCCAATAACACGTATGAGGTACTGCTCACACCTGGGTCCCCTTACACGCGTCCCGTCTCCCTCAGCTGGTTTCTGGCCTCCTGGGACAGCTGTTTGCTCTGGCTCTGCCACTGAAGACCTAATTCTGGAAAGGGCTTGGGGCTTGCCATGAACCTTCAGGGCAGCGTGAACCTTCAGGGCAGCGGGGAGAAGGGGAGTGGCACCTGGAAGTGGCTGCTTCCGCTCACCCTGGCTCTCCGTAGGTGGAGAAAACGCTGGGCATCGAAGCTGCCCGGACAACGATCATCAACGAGATCCAGTACACGATGGTCAACCACGGCATGAGCATCGACCGGAGGCACGTGATGCTGCTCTCCGACCTCATGACCTACAAGGTGCGTGGGGCCAGTCTCAGGAGAATGAAGCCGGCCTGCTTATAAGACAGAGTGCTTGCTGTGGTGGCCACTGCGAGAAAAGACGTCACCATCCCCCCAAAACAAGGCCTGGCGGGCAGGCTGGGTGTTCTGGTAAAACGCCAGTACAAACACCGCAACCTCCTGGTATGAGGGGGAGAATGGTTTTGTTCTTGGTAGAAATGTATCCTAAACCAAAGCCAGCTATTGCCAAAGGCCGGGGTGTCCTGGCAAACCGAGATGTTTATTCCCAATGAAACCATTTATCACACTTCTGTAGCCATTTCCAGGAAAAGACTAAGTTAACATGATCGTGGGGCTGAGGTTATATGGTTATGTATTTTTCCAAAAAAAAAAAGTCTCCCCTCTAGCAGCGCTGGGGACAACAGGTTTTAATGGCCTTCCCATCCAGACTGTGCTGCACTCGGAGGGCCGGACACTCCCACCTGGAGTCCAGGCCATGCTCTGAGGTCCCGCTTTCAGTCTTACTCCGCAGCATATATTGTTACTGCAGTTGCAATGAACAGCGGGCCTACCGTTTTTTATGCTGTCTTTTTTTAATTTAACGCTATATTCTCCATGTTGTTACATGGCTTTTAAGTATACTTTTTAATGGTGGCAGAATATTCCTTTTGGTGAAAACACCTAAATAGACTTAACTCTATCCCTGCTTTGTGCTTTTTGAGTTTTAAGTTCTTCTTTATGTAACGAACATCTTCAGAAAGTACTCTCTTTTCTCTAGATTCTTAGCTCTTTGTCCCACGGCCCCTGCTTGTGAGTGTAAGGATCCATGTTGTCAGTGGCTGGCAGCCTCACTGAGGCGGGGGGACAGTAGCTGTTAGCGTCCTCCGCACACCTGAGGTTGTGGCTTGAATAAAACTGCATTTGGCTGGTTTTTGCTTGTTCTGTGAAGAGGTGCCTTGGGTGCAGTTGGGTTTGAGCTTTCATTAGTGGCGTGGGTGCCAGTCTGACAGGTTTCTCCTTTGACACAGGGCGAAGTCCTGGGCATCACCAGGTTCGGCCTGGCCAAGATGAAGGAGAGCGTGCTGATGCTGGCCTCCTTCGAGAAGACGGCGGACCACCTCTTCGACGCCGCCTACTTTGGGCAGAAGGACTCCGTGTGCGGTAGGTGTGCTGAGAGCATCACCCGAGGCCTGGGGTGTTTGCAGCTTAGACCCTGGCTGGGGCTTTCTGAGAGGCAACCACACTGAATAGGCAGAGCTTCTGTTTTCTAACAGTAAAGTCACAGATCATGGAGCTGGAGCCAGTAGATTTTTATCTCCCAAGTTTGACTGGAGCACCCCACACCCCCCCACTTCTGTTAGGAGGCTGCTCTTTCAGGACAGTTAGTTTTCGGTCCAAGAAGAAAAGATGGACCCTGCGCGTACAGGAGCCTTTCCAGCCCCTGAAATCGCCGCGCCGCTCCTGCACCCTCTTGTGATGCGAAGGCTGGCAGGAGGGGCAGTGCCAGGCCTCCCTGTTGTCCTGACTCCCCGGCAGAAAAGCCTGCCTTTTATGTTTTTTGGAGCCCCTGTTCTGGGCACCTTAGATGTCCATATCTCAGCACCTCTGTGAGTTGTATCAAACCTGTTTGCAAGTAAGAAGACGGAAAAACTAACTTGCCTGCCATCCCTGCCAACTGCAGAGTCTTGCCCTGCACTGGCCTTGCCCCCCCGATCACAGAGTGCATCTCCCCTGGAAGCCTGGAGAGGAAGGAAGGGGAACTGCCGTAAAGTCCCTCCTGCCCACATGGCTCTTCCTGGTTCCTTTACAAAGAGCCCGCTTTACTCTAGCCTTTCTCGTGCCAAGATCCTGCAGGCCTGAGGTGGGAACTCGTGAGGAGCTGTGCCGCAGGAGGCTCAGGAGCCTCCCTAAGCCACAGGGATTCTAGGCCTGGCCGCCTCCGCCTCCAGAGCTCTCCTTCCCCCTGGCCATTCCCAGCACCTCCTGCTCTTGAGTGGATTTGCCACACAGGTGATGGGCAGGTGGAGCCCCAGTCAGTGTACCCTAAGATGCACTCTTCCTCCTCTCAAAGGGCATCAGCTGCAGATAAAGGGAAAGAGGAATTACATAATCCTTTAAGATAATAAAAGGTGAAAGAAAAGGAAGCAGGGATTGGGGCAGAGAAGGCCAAAGCCAAGGTAAAGGTAAGAGCAAGAGTGCTTGACCAGGGCGCTAAGACCCAGCACCCCAGCCTTGCCACCAGGATGGAGGCCCTGGGCCTGTGCTGCAGCCCTGCTGCCTGCCTGTGGCCTGCCCACTGCCCCTCTCTCCGCTGCTGTCCCCTTTGGGGCCTGGCCCAGCCACCCACCCCCACTGAAATCTTCCCTCTCCTGGTCCTGGACACGTTGTAATGTAACGTCGTCCTCACTGCATGTTGGTTTTAGTTTGGTTGTTTGCCTTTGCCTTTCTGGTTTCCTGATAGCACCAGCACAGAATGTAGTAGGCACACACTTGTTTTAGAGCCAGAAGCTGGCTGCAAAGCCCAGCACTGGATTTTGTAAAGCCGAACGGGGGCTCAGAGAAAGAATCTGCACCACCTCCCTACTCTGTGGCTCTCCAGGGAGCCCTGCCTTCTGAGTGTTTCCGGCTAGAGCTGTGCCTCTCCCAAGGCTGGGGCCGCCGCCTTCAGCCTGGCCCAGGCCTGGGCGCCGAGCACAGTGAGCAGCTTGCTGTTGCTGTTTCCAGGAATCATCACCTGATCATGCCGTCCAGTTTGCTTTTCTTCTGGGCCTAAGTTAAGCAAACACTGGATGGCAAACTCAGGAGTCCCTGCGCATCCTTCACTAGCCTTTCTGTCTACGTTAACGCTACAGAGTGTCTGGCTCTGGGGAGAGAACCACTGAGCCATCAGTCTCCAGCCGGGAGCTGGCTGTGGGCTGGCACAGCCCTTCCCCTGAGTATAAGAATCTCCACCAGCTGGGAGCAGGTGCCAGCCTGCGCTTCACAACTTCCCCTGTCATAGATAAGTAAAGTGGCCAGCCCAGGTTCAACCAGTTGATGTGTCGTGGATCTGGGACTTGAATCCCAGTTTCTGGCTCCTAGCAGTGTCTCTGTCCTGACAACCCACTGTGTGTCAGCAGCTCTCTAATCTTCGTCTGGTTGCTTTTAGGGGTGTCCGAATGCATCATCATGGGGATCCCCATGAACATTGGAACCGGGCTCTTCAAGCTGCTCCACAAGGCCAACAGGGACCCGAGCCCTCCCAGGAGGCCCCTGATCTTCGACACAAAGGAATTCCACATCCCTCTGGTCACATAGCCCCGGGGAGAGGGGACCAGAGGCTGCCTCGGCGCTGTGCTCCTTGGGACAGGCCCTGCTGTCCCCACCAGGCCAGCAGCCAGGGCAGGCCCCCAGTGACCCTGACCACCCACAGTGCTTGGCTGGGACAGCTGAGGCTTCTCCACACCTGCCGCCCCCTCTACCTCTGACACCAGGAGGCCCCGCTAGGAGTCCTCACTCATCCCCCCGTCACCAGGATCGAGGGGCCCGAGCCCACGGCCAGGGCACCGTCCCAGGTTCTCCACCCCTTGGTCCTGCCTGACTCTGTGTAATGTATTTGTGTAAATATTGTTACTATTATTTATTTGGTCAGTTTGAAAAAGTTGGTGTTTTTGTTATTTGATTTTACTTTTGAAACTCAGAAGCTTAGAAACCAAGAAAGCCAGCCCTGAAGCGTCTGGAAAAACTGGCTGAGCCGACGAGCCTGTCTGGGATTGGAAAGTGAGCCGAGCCGCCCTGAGGCCCCAGCTGCTCTGAAACGCTCTCTCATGTCCTGGCTACCCCGTTGCTTCGTCTGCCTCCAGCTCCTTCAGGTTGTGGCACTGCCTTGTCACTCTGCCTGTGACAGAGTCGGGGGCCTATTCTTCAAGGCCCACGGAGGCCTTGCTGGCGTTTGGGCCTGCTGGGGTGGGATTGCCGGTGTTCGTGGAGGTGATGAGTGAAGCTGGCCCAGCTGCCAGCACTACCTGGGTGGCCTCCCACCCTCCTGAATAATCGCCTGTGTGCGCAGGGGACGGGTGCAGAACTGGTGGCCTGAGAAGTGCCCCAGGGCAGTGGCAGCAGGTGCCAGCTGTAAGGGGTGAAAGGGTCACCCAAACAGGAGGTGGGGTCAGCTGGAGCTGGAGACTTGCCCCATTTGGCAACAGCAGACTCCTCGAAGAGTAAATACTGTGACAATAGGATGCACATGCCAGGCCATCTTCTGCTGGTGACTGTACCCTCCCTGGCGTGGTTTCCCGGCCTCTGGAGTATAGGGTGGCGGGAGGGAACACCAGCAGCACCCACTTGCCTCTGTGTGGCACCTGCTTAAAATGGGGGAGGAAAGATGGCGGCAACAGTGTGTTTTTGTGAGTAACAAAGACGCATTGCCAGGAGCCCCGGCCACCTGGGAGCGCTCATGGGACGGGATTGAGGTGGATGCAGATGGATTGGGATCAGCATGTGTCTCCGGATAGAAGGGTCCTGTGAGGGAGCTCACCACTCAGTGAGAAGTGAGGGTCCTGTAGGCACTGGTTCTCAGGTCCTGCCGGCTGCTGGGTCCACAGGCACACCAATGTTGGCTGGGAACTGTGTGCTCCCTGCTGTGTGTGCCATGGGGGGTGGTGAAATTGTCCCTAATGGAATCATCTCCCTGCCCTGGACTTAATAGTGAGCACAGAGCTTGAAGACCAGATTGCCCTGTGTTCTCCAGAGTGAGATCCATAGGTTAGGGTTTACTCTGGGCCTGTTTGGAAGAAATAAGAAAAACGTTTATATTCTGTCTCAGCCATTCACACATACATGTTCCTGCCTCCTCATCTGTCTAGCAGTTTGCCCTTTTTTATCTTTTACAAAGGATTAAAATAGCTATTGCCTCCGTTACAACCCCTGCTGTGTTCAGCACTTTGAGAAGGAGAAACATCCGAGTTTCACTGTGTCAGTTAAATTATGGTGTGTTTCCACTTCAGGGTTTATCTGTGTGCATTCACACTGATTCATGTCTGATTGAACCTGACACTGTATAATGATTTTTCATAAATTTTTGCTCTCTCTTGGCAGAATTCTATTTTTCTACCAAAGCTCAAAAGAAGGAAAAATGGAAATACATAAAACTAGCAGTTCATCCTGTAGGTCAGCGAATTTCAACTGGTGTGTTGCAAGAATTTTTAAAGCCTGCAATGCCTGGCCGTTTAGTCAGGAGCACTGACCTCTTTTCCCTGAGAGTGACAAATTAAACAGAGACAACAGTCAATAACAGTAGCCATTCGGTGTGAATGAGTCAAAACTATACCATTTTCCCCCCTGTCTGATTGGCAAAATATATATATATATTGGTATGCCACAGCATTTTAGTTGTTTATGTGTGCCCTCATGAGAAGGGTGGACCTCGCTGCTGTGGGTTGTGAAGCAGATGATGGGGATATACTCTGGTTGGGATGGGCTCTGATTCAAAATAACAATGTCCCTGCAGCAGGCCTCTGTCAGGTGCTGGGGTCAGCAGTAAGCACCAACCCCACACTGATGGAGCTGATTCAAACCCAGAGGCAGTAGTGCCCCCTAAGTACTGGAAGTGCCACCTGGCCAGGACTAGGTGCCAGCTCAACTGTTCATTCAACAAATAAGGGCCTCCTATCTCGAAGGCACTGTGCTAAGAACTAGAAATAGAGCAGTGAAACAGGTCCATTAGCAACAGATGCTTCTTAAAATAGCTCAGCAAAGCGGGTAAAGAGGTTCTGCATCAAACTTGGCAGAAAATGCATCTAGCATAATCTAGGGCCTGGTTCCTGTGGGCAGGCTCAGCACTCCAGGCCTCACTAGGGTCCCTCTGAACCAGAGCACCCTCCACCCCAGGTTCCAGCCTTCCCTTCAGAACCCTTTAAGCCCCCAGTTTGGTCTTTCCCTTGGGTGTGGAGCCAGAGGGTGTGGACTTGAGCAGAGGACACAGCCTGCAGACCCTGAGAAAGCGTGCTGCCATCCTCTCCCCAACCCCAGCGTACTTGCAGGGTTAATGAATGGATGTTGAAGACCATGTGTATTGGTTAAGCTCCTGCTCTGTACCCGGCAGTGTGCTGGGCCCTTAGGGACGGCCCCTGCATACTTGGGATTTACCCGTCTGGTTGCAGTTGTCTGGCTGCAGTCATCGTGTTAAAAGCTTGGGTTCTATGATCAGACTATTGGAACTCAAATCCCAATTTCCCTTTCCTGTCTGGTGACCTTGAATGGTACCTAACTCAGGGTCATTGTGAAGTTTCATTATGATTGTGCATATAAGATATTGCAGCACCTGGCACAGAATATATACTCATCAAGTATGCTTGCTTTTTTTTTTTTTTTTTTTTTTTTTTTTGCGACTCACTATTTTTACTAAAAAAGACTCTAAAAATCACAACTAAAACCCAATCCTCTAGCCTAGGGGTGTCGAGCTCAATCAGAGAAGGGGCCAAAATCTAAAATCCAGCCTAAATCGCGGGCCGAATGGTTTACTGAACAGTCATAAACTGTCATTATGATGGAAACGCAGCGGAGTGCAGTGATGACAGCGCGGTTCGGGCCACATTGCAAGGCCTGGCGGGACGGATTTGGCCCGAGGGCCTTGTGTTTGACACATGTGCGAGTCTAGCCCTTTTAAATTCCTGCAGGTGGAGCTGGGCTTTTCAGCCTTGGGAATGAGGCCTCCTGACTTAGCCCTGCCCACTCAGCTCCTTAGTAGGTTTCAGTGTTCACACCACACAGGAGAGCGGGGAAGGGGCTGACATCGCAGTCATGGAGCCAAGGGCCTGAGCACTGAAGTTTAGCCCTAGAGCAAAAGTGATCTCAAATGTTTATGGTCAGTAAGCCCAACAAAACAGGGTTTTTTGTTTTGTTTTGTTTTATTTAAATATATTTTATTGATTTTTTTTGCAGAGAGGAAGGGAGAGAGATAGAGAGCTAGAAATGTCAGATGAGAGAGAAACATCAACCAGCTGCCTCTTACACACCCCTTACCGGGGATGTGCCCTCAACCAATGTACATGCCCTTGACCAGAATCGAGCCTGGGACCTTTCAGTCTGCAGACCAACGCTCTACCACAGAGCCAAACCGGTTTTGGCAGGGTTTTTTGTGTGTGTGTTTTTTTTTTTAATTGAGAGAGATGGATATTGGTATTTATATCAGATTATTATGTAACAAGGTGTCTGCCCCATGAGGATCTCAGTCTCTATGAGGGGGACTTAACTTTTCTTTGTCTCTTAAAGGAAAAGCTGCTATTTAAAAGTCATCAGCAGCCCTGACCAGTTTGGCTCAGTGGATAAGAGCCTCGGTCTGTAGACTGAAGGGTCCCAGGTTCAGTTCCGGTCGTGGGCACATCCCCAGCGGGAGGTGTGCAGGAGGCAGCTGATCGATGTTTCTCTCTCATTGATATTTCTAGCTCTCTGTCCCTTTCTCTTCCTCTCTGTAAGAGATCAATAAAATATATTTAAAAAATAAAAGTCATCAGCAAAGACTATGTAAAGACATCGGTAATAATGGTTGCCTTGGGGATAGAAACATGACTAAAGGGTACAGGTGGAGGAGACTTAATTTTCACTTGATGGTGTTTTCAGTTATTTTTAAATCAGTATCTGATGCTAGAGAAATCCAGTCACCTTGGAACTGAGTTGGTTCTGAGTGTTCTGTTCTGAAAGGAGCTGAGTGGTAGCAGGTAGACACCAGATATTCAGGAAGAAAGGTATTGTTATCAGGATCAGGTGACCAAAAAAACCTAACATTCTTAAATACCTAAGATTTTCTTTTGACGGAAAGCCAACGGGGCATTCCAGGGCCAACAGCAGTTTTCCAAAGCTGTGGGGGACCCAGGCCGCGCTCAGCCTCACCTTCCACATCAGGGTATGACCCCAGCCTCATTCCTCATGGCCCAAGGGAGCTGGTGGAGCCCCAGGCATTCCAGCCAAGAGGAGGAGGGAAAGCCATAACTTTTGAGCGCTTTCCCAAAAGTTACTTGACATCCCTGTTAACATCCCCTCGGCCAGCACTAGCCAAGCCCAGCGCCAAGGGAGGCTGGAAAATGCTTGGGTTCTGAGTGGCTGTGTGCTTACCTATAAGTAGGGGCTTCTGTTAGCAACGAAAAAGAAATAGGAAGTAGGAAACAATTGCTTCTGCCTTTGGTGTATTGTGTTTTAATTTATTTTTTGACAGAGGTCGGCATATCCCTCTAAGCCCCTCAGGACTGGAATGTGCTGGGGCAGGTGGGACCACGGCATCTTCCTCTTCACAAGAGAGACTGACCCTGACCCCTTCCCTCTCCCTTTGTCTCTGTTTCTTGCAACTTTTATGCCTGAGTTCTTTTTACTAACCTGACTATTAAATTAGGTCACATTCACTGAGCAGACTATTCAAACTATCTGGGCTGATGGAAAATATAACTGTCAGACTATTCAATAAATTACACTTTTTAAAAATATATTTTATTGATTTTTTTACAGAGAGGAAGGGAGAGGGATAGAGAGCTAGAAACATCGATGAGAGAGAAACAATCAGCTACCTCCCGCACACCCCCCACTGGAGATGTGCCTGAAACCAATGTACATGCCCTTGATCGGAACCGAACCTGTGACCCTTCAGTCCGCAGACTGATGCTCTATCCACTGAGCCAAACCAGTTTTGGCTACACTATTTATTGCTCACCTACTGTGAGCAATACCAGGCTCTGGTTATAGAGCATTCCTTTGCCCCTTTTCGTCAGTTAACCCAGTCACCGCACTAACAGAAATACAATACAAGCCACTGATGGAATTTTAAATTTTCTAGTATCTTCTTTTAAAAAGAACTGGTGATGGTGAACTTGATTTTAACGTTTTCTTTAACTCACCCAAAATATCAGTAAAAAGATTATGAATGAGCTATTTTACACTCTACATATTAAGTTTTCAAAATCCAGTGTATGTTGCACACTTAACTGCACATCTCAAGTTTCAAGCACTCAGCTGCCGCATGGGGCCAGTGGCTTTGTGTGCAGGTTGGAAAGCAGGTTAGTACAAGAGAGCAAACAAATGCCTACTTACAGGCTGCTCTGGGCCCGGGAAGAGCTCAGCGCTAGGAAGCGCGGAGGCCTGCTTGGGCTGGGAAGTCCAAGGAGCCGCTGTGAGGAGGTGACATCGAAGCTGATACCTGAAGGCTGAGAAGGGCAAGGGGAAGGGTGTGCTCCAGGCAGAAGGGTTAGTGTGCAGGGAGCCCCTGTGGAGGGAGCCGGGACTCTCCAAGGACCAAGAGCCACCAGCAGGGGACCAGTCCCATCCTCCCCAGAAGCTCAACAAGTCTGAGCTGAGCCCAGGCCCCAGAGTGTCCATGGCCTCCTGTGACTTCTGAAGCCTGACACTCGTAGTTACTTGAGGTTGATACTAGACTGAGCAAATCGCTCACTGTCCAAGGAACTTTCCAATGAGCGCCTCTGGGGGCTTAAACTGTCCAGCAGTCATTTTCTACAGCCTGTTACCTGGCCCAAAACCCAGGGCCTGTTTGACAGTAGATGATTCACACAAAAAAGGTAAAGTCCTGGCCAGTGTTGCTCAGTGGTTAGAATGTTGGCCCATGCATCCAAAGGTCAAGGGTTCAATTCCCGGTCAAGGGCATGTACCTGGGTTGTGGGTTTGCTCCCCACACCCTGGTCAGGGCACGTGTGGGAGGCAACCAGCTGAAATCTCTCACATTGATGTTTCTCTCTCTTCCCCTCTTCCCCCTTCTACTCTCTCTGAAAAGCAAAGGAACAATATCCTTAGAGGAGGACTTTAAGAAACATTATTTTTTAAGGCAGAGAGAGACCGGTGTAGGAAGACTTGAGTCTCACTGCCTTCTTAGGAAGCTCTGTGGCGGAATCCACGCTGTGCACTGTGTGCCTCGGACCCGTGCTTCCAGCCTTCCCCATTTCCTGGTGTTGGTGTTGTCTCCCGGGAAGCCAGGGGTTAGAAAATGCCCTTCTGTCTGCTCACCACCAGACAATGAGCATGGCCATAAATCCCATACATGTCAGGGGAGCGCGCACACCATAACCACCTGAGGTTGGCATTAGAAATAAAATAATCCAAA